TTCAACCTATCGTTCGTTCGTTTGCTCTACCTTGCATTCGTTAGTTCATTCTTTTGTTCGATCTATCGTTATTCCTGTCTTTCGTTCTGTCAAGTTGTTTTCAAAACGTTTAGACATTTAAAGTTTGTCTTGACAAACTTAGTTACGCAATTACAAAATAAATTTTCTCTTGACTTCCAGTTCATTTTAATTCTGCTTATAATTTATAGACACGTTTTAATCCTCATCCGGTTTGCTATCTCAATTCAACTTTAAATTCGGGAATCGAACTGGAATATATTCGTAAATCTCAAGTTCACTTTAAAGATTGACAGTTTAACCAACTAGATTTTTAGATTTTAGAACATTTTAGATTAAAATTATACAATAATTAAAAAAAAAAAAATTCTAAAAAAATTGTTTTGGATGAATTTATTTCAACAAAAAAATTATCCAATTAATTTTCATGGCTGGTACCTTCTGGCTTGTTGAATTCTCTGAAGGTGGGAAGCGAGATGGCCGTGTGTGAAGTGGACAAGATGGGGTCGAGCACGCAGGAGATGTCATTGGGCTGGCAGGACTTCACACACCGTATAAAATCTGCACGGTCCACCCTCGGCCTGCTGGAGGAAGTCAAATAAAGTTAATACAAAACTTTTGCGATTATATTTTCTAAATTTCGCTAAAAAACTATTGCGAAATGACGCCGTTTCCATTAATCGATGTTACTGTATGCGACTAAAAGGTGAAACTATATATTATATAGACTCATTACATGCAGAGTGAGATATTTCAAGCCTTTATTTGTTATAATTTTGATGATTATGACTTACAGATAACCTTTTCACAATATTCTAATTTTGAATTTGGGGTTTTCATATCTGTAAGCCATAATCATCACAACTATAACAAATAAAGGCTTGAAATATCTCACTTTGCATGTAATGAGTCTATATAATATATTAGTTTCACCTTTTAAGTTCAATTACTGAAATAAATGAACTTTTGCACCATATTCAAATTTTTAAAGTATGAGTTTAATGAACTCTCTCTCTCGTCTTCTGTCCAATGAAAAAGAATGATCGACTTTTGATCGACGTCAGATGAGCTGTAAATGCAAAAAAAAAAAAAAAACGGTTTCCATTGTTCGCAGTTTTGCGAAATATTCCTTTTTCTAATTGCCTGAGAAACCCTCATGCGAACGTAAAAACGTGCAAATTTAATTGTGTCTTCTGGGATCTGCCAGAGGAATGCATAGTAATGATGCAGGATTCGGTTTCCCCGTCGATGACGACATGCTAAAGCTAAAGCGCTCCAGACACAGTTGAGCCCATTGTGAGATGACTTGAGCAAACAGGCCGTGATCTCTGGTGATGACTGGGTAAAATAATCTGTCTTTAGTTGAGGCTCTCCAACAAGTGGACGGCTTCCAGCAGAACCCACCACAGAACCAAGCACCCAGCGGGCGGGCGAAACCTTTACTACATAAATATTATTTGCACAAACACACTGGCCATTCTTAATATGGAGCTCATAACACAAACAATCAGGATTTGGGGGGTAAAGAATCAGAACAGAAAACGAGGAGAGGCCAAAACTCACACCACAGGAGAATCGGCGGTCGAGTTTCCTGTTAGCCACTCATGGGTTTTTTAAGTTGTGACATTGATATAAAACTTTTTCCAGAAAAATGTTTGGTTTAGCGGAGCATTCCCAGTCCGGCATCCCAAAATCTCATGTGGAATTTAACTTTACATATATATTATCTATCTTTTAATAGGAAATGTACAAGGGAGCTGTTTGAACTTTATTTGACGCTGCGTTTGCGTAATCAAGAGCAGGCTTTGCATCACTAATGAGATCGTGTTAATTGTTTGTCCTTGGCAGTAATGAGATTAAATTGTTAAATCTCTTTGCATTTTTTTTTTTTATTTATTCTATATTGAATATATATTTTATCATACCTAATCTCATTTACCATCATCAATTGCTCACTTAAAGTCTATAAAGCTATACATTATTAAAGAAACTAATCATTTAAATACAATTTTGAGCAAAAACGATTATTCATTCTGTACATTCTCATTTTGTAAAGTCTCGAACATTTAAAATAATTGCAAATATTACACTTTTGTGATAGTTTGTCTAAAAGAAAATTCTAATTATTTTAATTTGTTTAGACAAAATATTATATAATTAAAACACTAAAATTACTATTACGTATTTCGACAGAATATATTTTCAAATTTAATAGTAATAATTTGGGTGGTTTTAAGTTTAGACAAAACATTAAAAAACTAACATTTTTAATCTGCCATTCAACCTAAAAGGTGAAACTAATATATTATATAGACTCATTACATGCAAAGTGAGATAATTGAGACATTTCTTAACGGTATGAAAACCCCAAATTCAAAGGTTTTCATAACTTTAAAGCCTCAATCATCAAAATTATAACAAATAAAGGCTTGAAATATCTCACTTTGCATGTAATGAGTCTATATAATATATTAGTTTCACCTTTTAAGTTCAATTACTGAAATAAATGAACTTTTGCACCATATTCTAATTTTTCCAAGTTTCCCCTGTATATGAATGCACGTTTGAATATACATGAGAGCAGGCGTGTAGTCTTTATTTACAAATTGACCTTAACAGGTGACCTTAAATTTATAATACAGAATTTTTTTTACCAGAATAATTAGACAATGTTTTATCTGCACAGAGGTAAAGTCATGGTGACTTTAAAGTGGACAGCTCTAGTGAAGTTCGCAGACACCGTCTCTGAGCGCTTTGATCGGATGCAGGAGTTGCAGTGAAACCCCAAAGCTCGGATCGGGTTACGGGCGTTTGTACAGCGAGAGGGGAGAAGCCCCTGACAGAGCAGTCGAGCCACCGCTGGGCACGGATCTGTAATTAGCAATTAGCGGGTGGGTCCACGTTTTGCTTAGGCCTGAGCCAAAGCCACAAAATGTTCTCCTGCTTTATAATACCTAACTTGTGCACGACATGCCGAGCGAGAAAGATGGAGAACGAGGGGCAAGCGGCACAAATAACATCAAAGCTAACATTGTGGCGAACGCCGCTGGGGGGAATCCATCGCGCGCTCACGTGAGCAGAAACGCTAAATCCCCATGTGTGACTTGAGGGGAAAAACATGGCTTTTGGACAGGCCGTGTTTCTGGTCAAGCAAAAGTTCTCTTTTTCTCTCTGGTAATTATTATTTATAGTCAGTGTCTTGATAGCGCACCAACACAAACACTGCGGCCCATCGTTTCTCGGTGCACGGCGGCGATGTAGCTTCACCACAAATTGTTCAGACCACTGTCCAAAGCCCAGAATCCCATAATTCACTGTCAGAAAGTGTGTGTGTGTGATAGGGGGGAGAAGAAAACCCATCGAGATGCCACCTAGCGGTGTGAGGGACCTTTATAGTGGCCCTGTACTGCTGTATAGCTACTCATTTCTTCAACAACAGGGCTACACTCATTTTCTTATAATCTACACTGCAGTATCCCCTTTTTTAATCTATAAAGGATTCAGTTTCTCTAAACCACTCGTTTCCAAGAACCTACTCTGCTCTGATTGGTCAGATGGCCCAGTCTGTTGTGATTGGTTTACTCTGCTCTGATTGGCCAGGTGACCCATGTTGTGATTGGTCTACTCTGCTCTGATTGGTCAGATGGCCCAGTCTGTTGTGATTGGTTTACTCTGCTCTGATTGGCCAGGTGACCCATGTTGTGATTGGTCTACTCTGCTCTGATTGGTCAAGTGGCCCAGTCTGTTGTGATTGAATCTGGCTTAGGTGATACACACAGTGACAATGGCATTGTTCTTTTGCTAGGGTGATGTAGATGGTTGCTACGGTGTTGCTAGAATGTTCCTAGGGTGTTTTAGATGGTTGCTAGGGTGTTGCTCAATGGTTCTTATTATATTTTAGGTGGTTGCTAAGGAATTCCTCGATTATTGCAAGTGTTGTAGAGATGGTTTCCCAACCCTAATGTTCCCAAATGTTAACCATCGCAAACAGATCAAAACAGATCAGTATGACTTTACAAAAATTTAAATATAAAATTACAAAAATAAAACAAAATGAGAACATTAAAAATAAAACTGAATCGAATCATTTTTTTCACAACCTGTAAATACTGTTTGACAACTTTTGTTTACTTTACTTTTCAAATGTTTTGTTTATCCCCAATTACGAGTATTATTTAGCATTTTAGTATCATTTTGAGCACAAACATTCATGTAAATTGTTTAGTTGATTATTTTAGCATGTTTTACCTAGCAGGCAGACGTTAACATTCTCATTGATTACATATCACTGATATTAAGCCTATAGTGTTTTATTAATATTTTGAATTATGTTTTATATTTTCAGTTATTTCAGTCTTTTTATTATTTATTTAAAAAAAATAGTAGCCTAATTTTGTGTTTTTGTCACTGATCTATATAATGTCATTACATATATGGAAATTTTTTCCGTTTTTTTGTTTTTTTTAAATAGGTCTATATAGTTTTTATCAAGTTTATTTTGTTGTATTTTTTAATACTTCAGCTTAAGCCAAAGGACAATGAGAAATGTTGTCTGGTCAACTAGCTGAATTTTTATTTTATATTAAGTAGCCTAATGCAAATGGTGTTTTAATAGCTAACAAATTTACCCTGACTAGCCATTAGCATCTTTCAGATATCTCCTCAGTTCAAAGATCGACGTCATCAGATCGCTCCGTCTGTTTCTGGGTGAATGTTGGTGGATTAGCGGCTAATATATCCTTTAAATACAGGCTAAAGGGTTCAAATGCCTGGCTAATTATCCATCTAACCACTTCAATGATTAATGGATGCTTCCTACATGACTAATTAAATGTTAATAAAATCGCGTCAGGGTGGCTAGTGCACATGACGTGTGTGGTAATTTTCCAACCGCCGTTCCCACTTTCCATTTCATCTCTCCACTGTATCATTAAAAAAACTATTTAAAGCCAAACATATATTTTTTAAATAAAATGCAAGAATCCTAAAGTACGTTCAATTTTATTAGAAAAGAATAGACTAAAAATAATAGAATATAATAATAAAAATGATTTTGACACCAGTTGTGATTTGCTTTGCCTAACAGCGCCATCTAGTGGCCTATAACATACAGGCGTTTGATTCAAGTCTCAGTTTGATCTGATCACAGTTTGAAAGTAGTTTCATATACACTAGAGTACATAATGAACAGCAGTTTTGATACATGAAGAACATAATGTCAGGTAATATATTCCCATTAGACACCCGAGGAACTTTGCTTTCTGCAGTATAATGTTGCCTTCGAGTCTTCATGGGTTGTTGATCATATTTCTGAGTGCTTGTGAACGCCACAACAAAGTGTCCTTTACCTAAACGTAATGAACAAACCTTACCTGTTACTGTGCAGCATATTACCAGACAAGCCTTTTTAACTGATTATATGCTGCACTGTAACACAGCACATGTATTCTTGACTGTCATAATATGTCACTTCATTTCAGTAATCATTTTTACCATTTATGTGCATATTTTTATATATAAAAAAAATTGTGATTTGTTACCACTTTATGTGCTTATTTTACTGCAAATGCATTTTATTTTACCACTTTATGTGCATAAGCACATTTAAAAAAAAAATTTATTGTTATTTTTCACCAGTTTGTGCATATTTTACTTCAAATACATTTTAATTTGTGAACTATTTACCAGTTTATGTGCATATTTGACTGCAAATACGTTTTTAATTGGTGACATTTTTAACCCTTTTATGTACATATTTTACTGCAAATTAATAGTTTTAATTCATTGCAATTTTTCTAGCATGTTATGTGCATATTTTCCTCACTGAAAATATTTTTTGTGCATTTTTTACCATTTTATGCGCACATATGTTATGCAATGTAATGTTCAGCTCTTTTTATGATGTATTCATCACGTAACTCTCCAGTTTATTGTTTTTGAATGTTCTGCAAAGCATGTCTGAGTTAGCAACAGTAACCAAGTGGGGACGGAGCTTAGCGAATGGTCAATTCGAAGTGAAGGCAAATCAGTATCAGTGTTATCTTAATATTATTTATATACTATAATATTTTAATTAAAAACACTTAATCACATTGTAATTAAAATAGGGGAGGTTTTCCAGAAGGACTTGAAGGCAACATTAGACAAGATACCAGAGGCGCATCGGAGCGTCTACTTTAAAGGTGCAGTGTGTAATATTTAGCGGCATCTAGTGGTGAGGTTGTGAATTGAACCCAACAGAAGTTACAGTGGCCGACAGGAAGTGAAGCACAGAGTAGCCAGTTAAACAACAAAGATAAAGTATAAGAAATTTGGTTTACTTGATAATTCAGTAAAACAATGTTATTTGGAATATTATTGTAAGTTTGTTCATCATTGTGTCAATGTTTTATTGGCCGACTTTAGCTATAGCTACTTTACATGAAGAACAACATAGAGACGAAATGCCTTTGTCCTTTCAGGGCCACCGTAGAAACATGTCAATAAGGGACCTGCGGTGTATGTAGAGAGAAACGACTCATTCTAAGCTAATAAACACATACCGCTTCATTAAGTAAGCTCTTTATACACCACTTTATGTATATGATATTGCATTTCTGTCAACAGATCCTCCTAAATATTACACACTGCACCTTTAATGAAGCTCTGCGCTAATAAAACACTGGTTTCATTCAGTGATGGCGTTGCTCGGCTCGTCGGGGGTTACAAACAAGCGTATCTTGAAGAGGTAAACGCTAAGGTGTCCGAATCGCCTCAGTTTCATCTCCAGAGAGATTTCAAAGTCCTGAGGAAGCGTGATGGGTTTCTGAACCACCAACACGCCCCCGTGATCCACGCGTTTGGCCGAGAAGAAGCCTCCCTGGTTCCCGTCCACGATGGCCACCTCGATGTCGTCCCCGAGCGCCGAGTTGGACGGGCCCATGCGGAAGATGTTGGTGGGAATGGGGATTTTGGTGGGGAATGTCAGGTGGTAGTAGGTAATTCTCACAGGCAAGGCCAGGCACTCGCTAGTCAGATTACAAGGCAAGCGCTCACAGCGACTGCGAAGGGGAGAAACACGTGGGAGAAGAGAGAAGAGAAAGAGGGGTTAGAACGGTGCACGACATGCGGAGGAGTGTGATTTTAGGGGGAGGGGTTTGTTTGAGGGGGGAGGAGCATTCACAGTGACATCACACTCTAAAAAACGCTGGGTTGTTTTAACCCAATTTTTTATTTATTTAAATTTAACCCAATTTTCGGTCAAATGTGGACAAACCCAAACTTCGGGGTAAAAATGTAATTAATAAATTTTAACCCAACGCTTGGGTTTGTTTGTCCATATCTGACCCAAAGTTGGGTTGAAACAACCCAGCATTTTTTTTAGAGTGCACAGACCGACACAACTTTAACAGAGCGCAACAGCCGGAAGGAAAAAATCCCAGCTCTTTTCTACACAGAGACGCTTAAAGGGGGGCTCATTTCCACATTAGCCTGTGTCTATTTATCAGTGGAGAGAGGTTTCAAAAATGTTCATCCAGTCGGTCCAGTTGGATAGTTCGCCGGTGCTAGGCTAGTGCGAGTCAACGGTAACTGCTAGCTGGCCATTAAAAACAGTTTTACCCTCTCCACAGTTCACCAAAAGCACATTATAACACCAGACTATCGATAGAAATGTCTGTAGAGAGAATAATGTTAGATAGAAATCAAAAATCAAACTACCCTTGGTAGTGGAAATGAGGCCCGATGTTAAAAATCCTGAACGACCCCTTTAAATATCGCGATGCATCTTGGGTCAAGTCGGCATGGTTCAATTTGCATTGAAACGTTTTTTTGGGGAAGAAAATTAATGTGAAAAAATACTTCCGGAACTGTTGCGCTCTTATCGGTGGGGGATATTAATGATATTAATGGTATTAATGAAACGTTGTGCACAGTTCATGCATTGCGCTCATGCACAGTGTGATCAGCAGATATTCATGCCTTCCAGCGACATCTGAGCTGTACATCAACTCCTTCAAGATATATATGCACTAATACTTGCATAATTTAGTATTATTTATTTATTTGTCATTTTGTTTCTTGACAAATATATTTATATATTTATAAATCAAAAATATGTATATTTTGTATTATATTTTTATGTGTCCATGTTCAGTGAAAATTTTTAATTATTTAAATTAAATTATATATATATATTTATAGGGGTTTTTTTACATTTAAAAAAAGTACAAGTTTGAGTGCTGTCAAATATAAATATACAAATATATACAACCTTTTGTTAGTTAACTACCTTTTGTTAGTTATTACCTTTAACAACCTTTTGTTAGTTATTGATCCTATTTAATTGATATAATTAATTTGATATATATATTTACATATTAGTTTTTAAATAATTATACTTCAAATAAATTTAAATAGTCATAAATAAAATAAAACTATACTTTTTATATATATTAATTTTTCCTTTATATATATTCATTTTTCAGTGGAAAGGTTACATTTTTAAAAAGATTTGGAAACCGACCCTTAGATATGACAAATATTTAAGTTAATGGAAATTCAATATTGGATTAAATTCCTACAGCATCAAATCGAGCTCCACCGCTGCATTTGTGCATTTGTTTAAAGTCCTTTTTCTGTTGTAAACTGGTCAGAGTTGTTCTGGTTGTCACTCACGTGTCTCCCGAGCGCCTGTAGTTTGCCGGACAGTCGAAGCTCAGGCATTTATATCCACCCTGGATGTTGAAGCAGCTCTGGGATTCTGTGCAGGCGTGAGTCCCGGTCACACACTCATCGATATCTGCTCGGGAACATCAATATTAGTGTTGGTCTCGATGATTATGTTTAAATAAAGCACTTTATTTACAGTGATTTGACCATGTTTAAAGCCAGGGATAGTTCACCCAAAAATGAAACTTCTGTCATTAAATACTCACCCTGATTGTCATTCATCATGTAAAGCGGATTGTGTCTCATCAGAATCCACGCAATACATTTGGATTAGTTTTACGATCACTTTATAACATTATTGAAGCATTAAAGTGGTAGTTGCTTATCAATGGAGAAACAGAAATCTCTCAGATTTCATCAAAAATATCTTCATTTGTTTTCTGAAGATCTTTGGAGGTTTGGAACGACATGAGGGCAGAATTATAATTTTTGGGTGAACTGTCACTTTAAGGGCTTTTGCCACGGTGTAATATGACAAATTATGCACGTTATTTGTGAAATTGATGGTTTTGACCAATTTCTTATGAATTGTGACCAATGACACTCGGTTACTAAAACTGAAAAAAATAAGCATATAAAAGTGTATTTTTTAATATTAATTAAATAAAATATAATATTTAAATAATATATAATTATATTTATTTTATTGAAGAACATTTAAATTAACATTTATATATCATATAAATATATATAAAATAGAATTTAATTAATTATTATGATTTGTTACTTATTCAATATTATTTATAATAAATACATCTTTAATATTATTATTTATTTAATATTATAATTTAATGTTTATTTATTTATTATGTAATTTGTATAATAACCCTAGTTAACTTCATTAGTTAACACTAACTAAGAATGAACAATACTTTTACAGCATTTATTAATCTTTATTCATGTTAATTTCAACATTTACTAATCCATTATTTAAATCAAAGGTTGTATTTGTTATCATTAGTTAATGCACCGTGGAACTAACATGAATTTTTATTAACTAAGATGAATAATTACTGTAACAAATGTATGGTTAGTTCATGTTAGTTAATACATTATCTAATGTAAACTAATGAACCCTGTTGTAAAGTGTTACTGATTCCTGTGTTGTGTGACAGTATATGAACACTGTGATCCTGATAAGAGTGTGTTCCTGACCCTGGCAGCTGCGTCCGTTGGGAGCGAGTGTGTATCCGGTGGCGGGACACGTGCAGTGAAAGCTTCCTGGTGTGTTGTAGCATCGGTAAGAGCAGATGTGTCCCCCGGTGGGCAGCGCACACTCGTCGATGTCTGGAGACCAAAACACACTGTGTGAATGATGGAGTGGGACAGCAAACACGAGCCCTGGCCTGTCAATCATCCTGTCACCATAAACTGGCCTGTCAATCATCTTGTCACCATAAACTGGCCTGTCAATCATCTTGTCACCGTAAACTGGCCTGTCAATCATCTTGTCACCGTTAACTGGCCTGTCAATCATCTTGTCACCGTAAACTGGCCTGTCAATCATCTTGTCACCATTAACTGGCCTGTCAATCATCCTATCACCATAAACTGGCCTGTCAATCATCTTTTCACTGTAAATCGTCCTGTCAATCATCTTTTCACTGTAAATCGTCCTGTCAATCATCTTTTCACTGTAAATCGTCCTGTCAATCATCTTTTCACTGTAGATCGTCCTGTCAATCATCTTGTCACTGTAAATCGTCCTGTCAATCATCTTTTCACTGTAGATCGTCCTGTCAATCATCTTGTCACTGTAAATCGTCCTGTCAATCATCCTGTCACTGTAAATCGTCCTGTCAATCATCCTGTCACTGTAAACTGGCCTGTCAATCATCCTGTCACCGTAAACTGGCCTGTCAATCATCCTGTCACCGTAAACTGGCCTGTCAATCATCCTGTCACCGTAAACTGGCCTGTCAATCATCCTGTCACCGTAAACTGGCCTGTCAATCATCTTGTCACTGTAAATCGTCCTGTCAATCATCTTGTCGCAGTAAACTGGCCTGTCAATCATCCTGTCACTGTAAACTTGAAATCCTCCTCCTGTTTGTAGTTCCTCCTCCAAAGCAAAATGGATTGTGGGTAATATTAGCCTTTATAGTGAACACGGATCCACACTTTGAAAATCCACCGGGAATAGTAGATCGTTTCAACATATATGCTTTGGGACACACTTTTTCTAATCTCACACACTGTTTAGGATGCATAGAGTGGACAATGAGACGCAGGGACAGTCTCAGACACTCACCTTCACAGGTGATCCCGTCCACATCACTCAGCTGGTAACCACGGCGACAGTAACACTGATAGGACCCGTAAACATTGGCGCACTCCTGACTGCAGGGGGCGCTCTCGCACTCATCGAGGTCTGCAAGTAAACAACAGGACAGGGAATGAACCAAGGCTGACTGAGCTGATTACTAAGGCCCGGTCACACCAAGAACGGTAACTATATTTGCGTCCACACTTGACGAACGATAACGGGCTGTTTATTCGATGCTCGCGCGCTGCGGTTTTGAAGTGTGTACAACGTCATTGCACATGTTTTTGTTGTGTTTACATGGCTTTAACCAGCAGATGTCCTCAGCATGAGTGAAGCGTGTAATCCAGCTAATAATCTAACAGTGAATTTACTGTAGCTAACGTAGTTAATATAGTGGAATAAAAACAACACAGTCTTTTTCACCGCAACTTCGAAGGAATCAAGACAATGTTGTTGAAACGAGAGCTGGAAACCTGAGGGAAAACTTAAACCGTTTATTCAGAGGGATGATTGTTTTTCATGTTCTTGAAAAGTGGCTTGACTTGTTAAACAATGGTGGATTTATCTGGACCTCGGTGATTAACTTCTCCTTTTTAAATGCACGAGCCCGTTAATTAGAATGGATTCTGATTGGCTGTCAGTGTTTATCGTTCAACAGCTGGAAAAAAAACGTTCCAAAAGTGATCCCAACGATATCGTTATCGTTATAGGCGTGGTGTGACTCTGCTACTCTTTAATATCGGGAACGAATTTTAGGATGACTTTATCGTTATTGTCCTTGGTGTGAGCGGGCCTGTAGCTCAAGGGTTTTGCGGTACCATCGCAGTTCCTGGCGTCGCTGGCCAGCTTGAAGCCGGTGGTGCAGCTGCACTTGTAGGAGCCCAGGATGTTTTCACACTTGTGTGCACAGAGTCGGCCCGGATAGTTCCTGCATTCGTTGATGTCTGATGTTTAGGAGAAAGGAATACGGCATTTAGATCAACAGGGGTCAAGCAAAAGGTGCATTAAAATAATAATGCTAATGCTATATATATATATATATATATATATATATATATAGCAAATAATTATTAATTAAAATAATTATATTATACAAATTAATGAATGTTAAATTTAATTTTTAATTTTCTAAAATTAAATAATATGTTCTTTAATTTAATAAATAATTATGTATAAATAAAATATAAAAATGTATTATATTTTAATGATTTAAATAAAATTAAATATATATATACTATAATATATACTATATATACTATATAAATATTTTGAATAATTACAAATTATAATGAGTATAATTTAATAAAAAAATATATAATTAAATTAATATAATATTTAATTATATTTAATAATAAATATATTTAATTGTGTATATATATATATAATTCTTTAAAATATTTCAAATACATATATATGCATATATACTTGACATATTTTAAACAATTATAATACTTATCATTAATAATTATATTATAATTAATATAATTAAATTATATATATATATATATATATATAATTACATTATTTAATTAATATTTTGTTAATTATTTAAGTTAATTATTTGTTAATTATATATAATTACATTGTTTATACAATTGTGTAATAACAATTGTTTTATATAAAATGATTATTAAAATTTGAACCTACGACCTTTGACCTCTTAACCACTGACCTTCACAGGATCTGGTAATGCTATTGAAGACGAAGCCGGACCTGCACTCGCATCGGTACGAGCCCAACAGATTAATACAGCCATGACCGTCACAGGAGTTATCAGGACCCGCACACTCGTCGATATCTGAGGCAAGAGTCATCATCAGAGCTCATATTCATATTCTCTTAAAGAGACAGACTCACTTAATCAGTGGAAACTCTCAGACCTAGCAAAATATGCCATTCATAACCCATTTTATTTCCATAATGTTTTGCATTTCCTGAGAGACGAGTTAAATATATTTATATAGATTTTTTGTTATATTATTTATTGATTTTTTGGGTGAAACTGAGAGCTTGGATTTTTTCTCAAATAAGAAGATTTCTTTTTTTATTATTATTTTTTTTTTTTAGTCACTTATAAAGTTCACTTATAACATTAATTATACCTTTAAGAATTCTGTGTATACATATACTGTATATTAAATTATATTCATTATAAATGTATATAATTATATTAAAATTACACAAACATAATATATGTACTTTGTAGTATATACTGTATATATATAGTTTTTATATAGATTAATTAGTGTTTTCTTTCTTTTGAAGTCTTAGAGATTTTCCAGCATTTTTATTATTTGATATTCATTTTTTTTACTAGTGACACATTTTGTGCTAAGTAATATAATTAATAATATAATCAAAATAAATATTCTATATACATATTATTTTTTGATATATTATAATCTTAGATTTCCAGCATTTTTATTATTTGATATTTTATTTTGTTCACTGAAGACTAATTATAATATAAGTGACACATTGTGTGCTATATAATAAAATTACATATAGAATAATTATTTTGATTATGTTATTTATTATATTATTCATTTATTTTTCCTTTTGATTTGGGTGTTATTATATTATTTATGAGACTAATTAAAATATACACTACTAATTAATTTAATTATACTAATTAAAAGTTGCACCGGTATATTGCTATATATTTTTCCCCAAAATATTTTTCTAACGTTTAGTTTTCTAATGTTTACATGCGATGTCGTGTGTGTGTGTGTGTTTACCGACGCAGCGAGTTCCCTGTGCGTTCAGATGGTATCCGCGACCACAGTTCACAGACTGTCTCTGGCAGGTGAAGGAGCCGACGGTGTTAAAGCACATGTGACCCGCCGGACACGGGCCCGTCACACTCAGACACTCGTTTATATCTGTCACACACAAGAACACACACAGCGTTAGAGAGCGTAACAGGCTCTTACACACTCGTTTATATATGTCACACATACACAGAAACGTTCTCACCGATGCAGCTGCCGAGAGCGTCCTGAATGAACCCCTCGCCGCACTGCATTCTGGGCCGGCAGCGGAAAGACCCGACTGAGTTCTGGCACAGCATCTCGGCTCCGCAGTTGTGAGTGCCCGTCTCACACTCATCAATGTCTGAAAAAGCACACACACACATTGTATCTTTGTTTATTTATTGATTATTATTATTAAGGGGACGAGTCACATGTGGGTTATAGGGCTGCACAATTCATCCAAATCAAGATCGCCATTATGGCTGCGATAATCAAATCAAATAAGTAATATATATTAATATTTTTATTTTTTTGTATTTTTATTCAGTATTAATAATGAAAAATATATATATATTTATATATAAATGTAGAGTTTTTGAATGCTGTGGCTCTAGTATGTTCTGAGTGTGTGTGTGTGTGTGTGTGTCTGACCTTCATACTGCTCAGTGTGTTCTGTGTGTGTGTGTCTGATCTTTGCACTGATTGGTGTGTACTGAGTGTGTGTGTGTCTGACCTTCGCACTGGTTGGAGTCGGTGAGCTCGTAGCCCGTCCCGCAGCTGACCTCTCTCTGACACCGGTACGAGCCGAGTGTGTTGATGCAGCGTTCGCCCGGACGGCACTGGTGAGCGCCCAACAAACACTCGTTGATGTCTGTCGAGACACACAGGCTGCGTTTACACACATCTGACACAGATCCGAGTTTGTTGTTTGTTTTTTGCATCCGATCTGAGCCACTTCCAAATGTGGTTTTAATTCGCATACAACATATCCGACATCCGACCTGCGTCTAAACACACACATATCCGATTCTCCTCTGAATTCAAGCCGCCACACGCGAGGACGACACATTTATTCACAAAGATTTGTAATGTTGTATTATGAGGCAGACGTGTCTGTGTGCGCTCGCTCACGGGTTTATATTTAGATGGGAACTTTATATTTGGTGACTTTATTCCACTTCTAGATCTGAGCTGTAGATAAATGAAAATTATAAAGCACATTCATGAGCCTGGCAAATAATCATGAATTTTATAAATAATTTTAATAGCACGGCCATTGAAAACCATGTGCATAGAAAAAAGATCACCGAAAATAATTAATATAAACACAGATATCGGATACCAGTCCTGTGTGAAGTGAATGCAAACGGATATGGACAAAAGATGGGATCTGTGTATTAAAGGGATAGTTGACTTTGAAATTAATTTTTGATGTGTTTTATCTTACCTCAAGGGGATCCAAGATGTAGGTGTCTTTGTTTCCACAGTATTTTCAATTTTGACAATTTTTGGTCAAACCGTTGTTGTCTGTCAGTCATACACTGGAGGCTAAGGGGGTCCTCAATCGGTTCACCTCAAAGAGCAGCACAGAGAAGTCCAAATGTAAATCCACATTGATGGCCAAAGACACGAAACAAGCGGTTTGTGTGAGAAAACTAACAGTATTTATATCGTTTTACCTCTTGTAATCATAGCCATGACAAAATGATCTGACGGCACGGGCGCTTCGGTCTGGAAGTGATCGCTTGCGCGCCGACGTCACTCTTTGTTTATACAGAGATTTCGGAAGTTTACCTTTCACTAAACATATTTAGATATACGGGAAACCACAATGGAAGACGATATATCGTATTTATTTAATATATATCGTATTTATTAAATATATCGATATATTTCGGTATATCTAAATATGTTTAGTAAAAGGTAAAACTTCCGAAATCTCCGTGTAAATTTTGAGTGACGTCACACGCAAGCGATCAATTCCGGCGTAACATTGAACTGATTCAGTTCGGTTCAGCTGGACATTGAACAACTGATTCAAATCACTTGGATTACACGAGGTAAAAACGATATAAATACTGTTGATTTTCTCACACAAACCGCTCGTTTCGTGTCTTAGGCCATCAATGTGTACTTAGATTTACGAGTCATTAAATCATGTTTAATTTGGACTTCTCTGTGCATGCTCTTTGGTGGACCCCCTTAGCCTCCAGTGTATTGGAAATGTAAAATTGAAAATACTGTGGAAACAAAGACACCTACATCTTGGATGCCCTTGAGGTAAGATAAAACATATCAAAAATTAATTTCAAAGTGAACTATCCCTTTAAGACTTGCAGTGACTGCTCATGTGACTTGAATAAATGTGTAAGTTTACGGGTGGACACATACTAACCTTCACAGGTTTTTCTATCCGCCTTCAGCTTGTATCCCGCCAAACACACACAAGTGCCGTTCACACAAAGCCCGTTCACACAGCCCGCATCTTCAGTGCAAACACACACATAACGTTAATGAGCCTACTCTAAAAACTCTAAAAATGTCTTTATAGGCTTATATAGTTCCAGATACCTTTGCATCGGTCGTCAGTGTTTGATGCATCGGGTTGTGCATCTGTCATTTTAACACACACACACAGTTAGTTAATGCATTACAGCTTTAGTCAGAGCTCCTCTGTGGCACTAGAGGGCAGCAGAGTCCAGTTATAGTGAGACTGTAATAGAGCTGGTAAGTCCCGCCCATCCGTAAAACTCCAAGTGGACCTCTAGGTTGAAAAAGCGTCAATGCAAGTGAATGAGAGAAAATTATTATTTTCTAATCCCGTTTGAATTGTGCCATGAATGTAACATATGTTGTCTGTGAATTTTTTTTATATAATTTCTCATGTAACGAGTTTGACAGCATATTGTATGATTCTTTGGCTAGCAGTAAATTGTAAAATTGTTGCATTCTTTACACGAAACATTACATAAAAAATTCACAGACAACATATGTTCACATTCATTGCAAAATTCAAACGGGTTTAGAAAATAATAATTTTCTCTCATTCACTTGCATTGACGATTTTTCAACCTAGAGGTCCAGCGGGGCTAGCGGAAGGGGCGGGACTTACCAGCTCTATACAGACGGTGCATTTAGGCCACGCCCACACCGGGGGAGGGGTTGGGGTTTTGATAAATCCATTGACTTTGCACTGTGTGAAGATGCCTCCTCGTCATTTCTGACTTATAACAAAAACAAACCAATGTCTGAAAGCTTCTGTGTGGCAAGATATACACCAAACAAGCTAAACAACCCAGAAATACGTGTTTATAATCTGTCGACCCCAAAAAACGAGCGTTTAAGGACACAAAAGTGGAGACAGGCGATTGAGAGCGAGCGCAACGTGTCATATTACTCTGAGAACTAACTTACGCCACTGAGGCGAACATATAAACTTATATTTTGATATTTTATATACCCGTGATAAACTGTTTTCTGCACACGAGTGTCAGGATCCCACAAATTACCCATTCTTTCCAGCTGACGCTTCACGTCTTTTCGCCTGTATCCACTTTCGTGTCCTTAAACGCTCGTTTTTTGGGGTTGAAAGCTTATAAACACGTATTTCTGGGTTGTTTAGCTTGTTTGTTGTACACCTTGTCACACAGCAGCTTTCAGACATTGTTCTGTTTTTTTTTTATAAGTCAGAAATGACAAGGAGGCATACAAAGTCAATGGAGAAGGTGGGCGTGGTTTTCAGATTATTAAGTTGCTAAATAAAGTTGTTGGTCCCCATTGACTTCCACAGTATGAAAAATAAATAAAGTCAGCAACTGTTTGGTTGCCCACATTCTTCAAAACACCCTCTTTTGTGTTCAACAGGACAAAGAAACTCATTCAGGCTTGAGGGTGAGTACATGATGACAGAATTTAAATTTTTTTGGGTGCACTGTCTCTTTAAGGAAGGTTGTGATGTCATAACCATGATGATTTCTATTGGTTTGTTTCTCTGTTTCCCATCATGAGAGTGGTGTTTGTTCTTCTCACCCGGCGTGGGTTTCGCGTGTGTGTTTGGCAGGCGGTCCACACAGCAGGCCCGGGACACCACACCGCACTGGTACCCCACAGCGAACGTCAGGTCACATGACAGGCCTCGCTCCTGAGCCGCCCGGCCGAGCAAACAGCACTCGCAGCACATCTGCAGAAGAAGAAGAGGAGAAACACACGGGGTCAGGGGTGAGGAAGAACTGCTGATGTACGTAAGTGACCAACTTTTACTTCATTTATAAACACCTCATGTAATAATAATAATGATATAAATGTATACAGGTGAAACTCGAAAAATTTGAATATGTTGCAAAAGTTCATTTATTTCAGTAATTGAACTTAAAAGGTGAAACTAATATATTATATAGACTCATTACATGCAAAGTGAGATATTTCATTTTTCACATTGCAAAAAAAAACCTTGACCAAAAGTTATTTTTTCAGATCAAATTGGCAGATATTTCTTGTTTTAAGCATTAGCTCGCTTAATTTTGATTATTATTATTTATTTTTTTTAGTCAACAAGACTTAATATCTTTATTAAATCTATCTTGATTTGTGAATGTTCAGATATTTGTACTGGAAAACAGGACAAAAATATAAAAAAGAAAAATACATATTTTTGCAGTGCAAAAATTATTTCAAGCTACAAAATTAAGCAGGACATAAAACAGCATAAAATTATGATAGCAGTTGTGCACTGTAATCACCGTTTTCTAGTCATATGACAGGAACAGACTGAAATTTGAGTCACTATTTTGTGAAAATTGCACTTCCAAGAAAGTCATGTAATTTTAGAGCGACTTGAGAACACTCAAGAAAAATAACGAGTTTCGGGTCAAAATGACCCGGCTTATTTTGACCCAATTTTTTTTTTTTTTTTTTTTGAGTGTTCATCAGGACTTTTATTGCACTTGAACCACGAATACGCACACAAAACATCTAATGGATTCAAGGAGAGTTTCTTTCATTAAAAAAAAAAGTAATAAATCCTTCCTTCACGGGTCAATTTGACCCCCTTAGAACAGCTCATCTCCTCCATATAGAGATATAAGCCCATCTAGAGTCATGAAATATTATCTTATATTATTATTTTTCCACTAGAGGTCAGCAAAGACACCCAATGTAAGATATTTTGAGCTGAATTAAAAGGCTTATGCTTGTAATTGTGAGTTATTTTGAATTGAAGTTGAAAGAATGCAAGGATTAAATTACTACTAATTTATTTATTGATTGATCAAATCAAGTAATGTAAAGGTAAATAAAATTAAAAAAAAATCTTCCAGAAAAATTGCATTAAAAATAGAAAATATTATCAAAATTAAATAAAAAATAAACAAATTAATAAAAAGTATCATTTTAGGGCTTTGGGTCATTTTGACGTACGAGAGAAACGTGTTAAATGATGAGAATTTGAATTTTTGTCTGAATTATCAAATGCACATGCATCTTTTGTCCATAAACGGTTTGAGTAAAGTTTCGAAGAACTGAAAACTCGTTGCGGAAACACGAACACATCTGGTGATTTAAAGATCTTAAACTTGCTATCAGATCATCTAATACCTGCCTTGAAAGGTTGGAGATGAATTACGCTCCGGGTTTGTGATAAACACATAAATAAAGTAGAGCAATATTCTGACAGGCACTTTAACAGTCGCGATCTAGTCCCAGTGACAGGCGAGATGAATGTTTCCTACAAGTAATGTTGAAACACACTCAGGTGTGTATTATTAAAGGCTCTATTCTTCATGCTGAGGTTTGGCGGAGAGCCTGTGAGGGATATATAACACCACACACACTCACAGTCTCTCTCACACACACACACACACGTCCTCCGCACTTGTGATTTGGGCAAGTTCCCTCTTGCTCAGTGTAAACAGGGCGGAGAGAAAGACTATTTTTACCCCTCGATCTCTCGAGTTCCTGCTTTCAAACACATTCATCATCTTATAGTGATCTGAGAGTCTCACACACACGCGTGCACCGACCCAACACGTTACGTACTCTCACACTTACGTTTCACATGAAAATATTTGCCTTTTCATGATATGGAGTATCAACACAGGTCTCGTATATCTCAGAGACACTTTATAAAGTAAACAGTTCTCAAAAAGAAGATTTTAAATGATAAAACCATGTGAAGACACACTGGGTCTATTAGCCTAAGTGAGCTGCAGTGTGTGTGTGTGTGTGAGAGAGAGAGAGAGTGTGTGTCATCTTTAAACACGCATAATCATCATATCCAGCATTGATCTGCATGCGGCGAGAGATCACACACACACCTTGGACGTCTTGGTTTCACATGTGCTGGTGGACAAGAGGCTGTCGCAGCTTCCCTGGTCCTTCGCCATGTTGATCCCGATGGTGCAGATGTTGTCGTCAAGAACCGTCGCACAACACTGTTCCTGAGCTATCCTACAACACACACACACACATCTCAGCTCACTGGTAATCAACATATTATCCACAGGTTTCCGGGGGGGGCTCCTGTAAAAAATAAAGTGGGTGAAACTTCCGGTGAGGCGGCGGAAGTAGCATTCAAATGGTATTTTGTGTGTTAGTTAGCGAAGAGGCTAGCTGTTTTTCGGAGAATTATTTTACTATTTAAAGACGCAAATCTTTATGAGAGATGTCGTTACGGAGCTCAGGGGCAACATGTGCTGTTCGCGGTTGTATGTATAACCGGACTAAACTAATTTAGTGGCTTAAACGCGATGATTGTTTTGAACATAAGCCGAAAACGAAATCAGAGTGATCCTGCCAACGACTGTAGTTTCCATCACCTCCCAAAAGACGACGAATCTTCCTGTGTACATTTGTTTAAATTCTTAATATCCTATAAACTCTATCGGCATGTGATCGGCTGTTCGCTACTGATGTTACACCTAAACTCAGGATCAAAGCCTGTGTTGACCGAATACCAAATGTGCCAGTTAATGTATTCAAGCAGCACATTCATTTATAATTTTGAATAAACTCCAAAGCACAATATTTTAATTGTTTGTCAGCTCGCACAACTGTCTGTCACCATGCCTTGATGAGTATTGATTATTAATAATGTTATTATAATACACTGCGGAGGGTAAAGGTGCTGTTATTTCACCCTTTTGAATTTCGTTGAGGTTGTGTTCCCACATCTGGATCGCTATAACTTGAATGACTGTCAAATGTTGAATGAACGAGTGTCAAGCATGTCAAGTCGCGCTTTGTTTACTTCCAACCGGAAGTCGCGCCCACTTTTGACGCAAGGCCTCATGGGGTGTAGGAAACTTGTGGATAGATTATATGTTAAGAGAGTGCCATTGATCAGTACCAGTAACCTCGAGCTGTGTGAACTAAAGCATGTTTATATCTAAGGAAAAATCCATCGCAATGAAAATAAAAAGTCATTTAGCATCTCAAGTAAATGCATCTTGATTTAATGTGCACTGGAAACGTTTTTTTACAGTGTGTTCGGATCTCAAATTTCCCTTTAATTCACTCTAATGAAATGAGAGCACTTTAAAGCGAGTCTGGTTCGGATCCAGCACTGACGCACGAGCCGGTTTTTACGGTAAACCGACGGCTGTTTGTCTCGTTCGCTCTTGCTTCACCCTCTTTCACAATCAGCCCATCACCCTGACATCTTCCTCCCCGAAGCCCCTTTTAAGGCAGAATATTTCTCCTTTCGCTTCTCTGTTTTTCCCCTTTTCTGCGTCTGAAATAATCTGCAGATTTCCTGTTATTCGGGTCGCTTTCGCTCTTCTCCGTCTGACTAGAGTTTCACCTCAGTGGAATTTCCTGGATTTGGAAACTGTCTCATTTTTGCAAGCCCACCGACCCAAAAATATCCAAACATCACCACTTTCTCATTTAGACAAACTCCAGGTTGCATTGAAGGCCAAGATAAGCACATGACTGGCACTGAGATCCAGTGCTGATCTCACCATTACAGCCACTTCTACCAATCATGCATTGATCTGATCTGATATTTTAAAAGGCATACTCCACCTTTTTTTTTTTTTTTTGGAAATAGGCTCATTTTACAACACCCCCAGAGTTAAACATTTGGGTTTCACCGTTTTCGAATCCATTCAGCCGATTTAATGATATTTAGAAGAATATCAGTAACCAAACAGTTTCTGGTCTCATTGTCTTCCATAGTAGGAAAAAATATAAACTATGGAAGTCAATGAGACCAGAAAGTGTCTGGTTACTGATATATAAATATCAGAAAATCGGCTTGTGGTTGTTGAAGTCGTGGTTCAAACCTGCAGGTTGTGGATTCAGAGATGAGCGGCAGACTCGTGCAGTCCTGAGACTCTTGACCTCTGTCCTTGCCATCCTTACAGCAGTCGTCCAGCGAGATGGGATCTGAGGACATTACACACACACACACACACACACACACACATGCAGATTACAGTTAAAAGCCTGCACGTTACTGACAACTTGACTATTTACCCAAATATCTGCAAGAGTTGCTGCAACCACACGTTAGTACATACTCAACCTGATCATCTAATCATATATTATATATACATATATTCGTTTGATTATCTCTAAAAAAGAAAAAAGAAAAAACAATCTATGGTTTCGCTGCTCTAAATGATTGAAAATGTCTTTTATCTCAATCTCTGCATTTAAAAAACTATTGCGGAATGTTTTTATCATGGCTTGTGAATGTTTTAAATGAATTTATACGTGTGTTTTGCGATATGTTAGTATGTCTTTCAGGAGATTTTAATTCTCTTAATTCCACTTCATGCATCTCATCTCAGATCGGATAGCTATCTGAACGATTCCATTTACACCGGGTCACATAGTGACTTGCCTGGTCAAATATGTAAAGGTTTACTAGTTTTGTTACATTTTACGACACATTTGAAGCGTTGTAGGCTCTGTCTGACTAGATTGCAGTGTTAAAGCGGGTTTGCCGTGACTTGCCCTGCTCAGATCATGAATTACAATGAATCAGAGTTCTTACTGGCTCGTCTCTGGCACAGTCTCTGGTTTGCGGTTCGATCATGAGCGCTAGATTCAACACTATGGCTGGCAAAGCATAAGAGAACAGGGTCCAAAAATGGACTTATTTATGGCCAAATGCAAAAGGGTTGTTAAGTCAAGAACACTTTATTTTACAGAGTCCGTGTTTCATTTAGTTACTATAGTAATAATGATAAATGATGCATAATTATATGCATCTAAACCCTAACCCTATAGTAAGTACATGTAGTTAATTATTATTACTCAGTACTTAAATGTATAATTAAACTTTAGCACAGACACCTCTATTTTTTCTAAAGTTTCTATTATTTCTATGGGTTTCAGTCTCCATTTGCCTCCTTTTAATCTGTGATATGCTGAATGTTGAGTTTCTCTGACATTAACGGTCAGCGTAGAGTAGACACCCTGAACTGTTCAGATGCTGGCATGACCTCTGTCCAATTAGGGATGAACGGCCCATGGAAAACCCTCTTAAAAATGTTACTGCCCCAAACCCTGCGGCGAGGAATAAAGACTCTCGGTGGGAGACCTGGTCCCGCCTGCATGGGGCCTTTCGTTTCTACTCAGTTTCAGAGCATTTACTTTAATTAGGGAGGAGATAACATATGTGTCTGGATCTGAAAAGTGGTTTGCATACATTTCTATTCTATTCCATTTTATTCCATTCCATCTAATTCTATTCTATTCAATTCCATTTTACTCCATTCCATCCCATTCTATTATTTGCTATTCTATTCCACTTTATTCCATTCCATCCTATTCTTTCCTTTCTATTCTATTATATTCCATTTTATTCCATTCCATCCTATTCTATTCCATTTTATTCATTCCATCCCATTGTATTATTTTCTATTCCATTTTATTCCATTCCATCCCATTCTATTATTTTCTATTCTATTCCTCTTTATTTCATTCCATCCCATTCTCTTCTTTCTATTCTATTACATTCCATTTTATTCCATCCCATTATATTCCCCTTTATTCCATTCCATCCCATTCTATTCTTTCTATTCTATTATATTCCATTCCATCCCATTCTATTATTTTCTATTCTATTATATTATATTCCAATTTATTCCATTCCAACCCATTCTATTATTTTCTATTATATTCCACTTTATTCCATCCCATTCTATTATTTTCTATTCCATTCCACTTTATTCCATCCCATTCTATTATTTCTATTCTATTATATTCCATTTTATTCCATTCCATCTCATTCTATTATTTTGTATTCTATTCCACTTTATTCCATTCCATCCCATTCTATTCTTTCTATTCTATTATATTCCATTTTATTCCATTCTATTCCATTCCATTTCATCCCATTCTATTCTTTTCCATTCTATTCTCCCACCGACCTACCCAAGGTCTGTCTTTCTGCAAATCAGTGTAGCGCATAATTAATATTCATTAGTTTAGCTCATGCCCCGCACACTTTCAAATGGTGCCGATATTTGTTCTTGTTTTCAGCAAAAACTCGCTTAATTTTCATTCATTAATTTCCAAGAAAATAAGTCGTAATATCTTGTCATTTAGCATCTCAAGTACAGAAATCTTGTTTTAAGACATGTGTACTGAAAAACATCATTTTAGCAGACTTTATACCAATAGCTGGACTACTTTAAATCTGACGAGGGTCTGTGTGTTTATTCATTGATTTATTTGTTTTTAATCATCATTGTGACGTAGTCATTGTTCTATTTGTCTTGCACAATCAGTATCTTGTCTTGATATGCCGCTCACAGCTGCCTGGATTGTATCTCCCTTGTTTGTTTTTTCCCACAAGCCATTTTCCACTCATGCTGAATAATGTTTAGTGTCTGGCGGGTGAAGTAACTCCGTTAAACACGTCTGAGTCTCTCCCAAAGATTAAAGGCCATAAAAACTAGTCCAAAACATTTCCAAACAACCATCAGCTGACGCAAGTGGACTCAATTGGATCAAACAGATCATTAATTTCCCTGTGGTTTCCTTCGTCTGCCAAAACGCATGATATTTTTGGCAGATGAGTCTTTTGGGCTCTTCTACTTCAGGTTTGCACAGTAATCGAAACACCACATGGGGTTTATAAGCAGTCATTTCTAAATCATTTAAAAAAACAGTACAAATATTAATTTATTTACATGAATATTGAATAATTGTTTATATAAATGTGCTTTATTCAAATAAATAAATGCAATTTTATTTATTTTTATCAATATGAAATACAAATATTAATGTATTAACATAAATATTAATTATTGTATTTAAATAGATGCGCTTTATTAAAATAAATAAATGCAATTTGTAAAAAAAGAAAACATTTAAATGATACAACACATAAAATAAGTTAAACCAGTTATCCAGAAAAATATTAATTTTATTAATAAAGAAATGTGCGGTCAGTTTGTTATAGCCGTGATTTAAAATATTTTATAGAAAACAATGAACCACAGTTCAATTCACTAAAATACAATCAATGAAGTATTTTTTAAATAAATGTAAATGTGATTAATTAAAAATATATATATATATATATATATTTAAATTATAATCAAGTAAATCAAATAAGTCATCCAGAAGAACATTAATAATTTTAATTAAAAAATAAATGCGCATGGATTATTATAGCTCTGCTGTACAGTAAATATCAGTAAAATAAATATTAAAAAAATAAATAAAATTGTAATTTAAATAAAAATGTCTATGTGTTACACTGTAATTATACATTTAGATACTGTGTAATAATAATTAACTAAATACTTTAGGGTTTGTTGCATGTAATTATGCATAATTTACAGTTATAACTACATGTAACAAGGACTCAGTGAATTAAAGTGTTACTGAGAAACTTTCTAAAGCCCAATAAAAACCAAGATGTGAGCTAAGAACAGCACTAGTGTGTGTGAAAACACCACCAACGTGATACTAGTCAAGCCACTGCTCATACAAACAGTTTGTGGCTCTGAATAATGACCTGCACCATGTAAACCACATGTGTGCGGTGTCCGAGTGAGTGACATGAACGTGTGAGGAAGGAGTTTTAGACACTAGCAGTCCTGTAAGATTAGCATGACCCGGTTAACCTTCCTCTGGCTTATTATTTCATCATTAAAATCAAATGCCATTAAACTAAACTTTCTCTGCACTGCTATATTCTTCAGATTCAGACAGACTGGCACTGGCAAGAGACAGCTGATTGGTTCCTGCAACACATACCACGCCCCCTAATCTACATATTCATACAGTATCTGTTAAGAATAAAACACTTCAGCTGCGGTAAATTATAGTTTTGGGAGCACAACCCTTTAATTAAGAGATCAGCAAGTTACTCATTTGAAGTTTTATCATACAAAGGCGCATTATAATAATTAGCGATTTTTTTTTTGTTATGTACCACGTGATTTTATATAGGCTACTATATAGTAGCCTATTTTAAATTAAACTATACTATTTTTTTATCTTATTTTCCATTCTAGAGAAGTTTCAACAAATGTTTACAACAGCAACCCGAGAAAACATATTTAACCCGATTCGTCAAATACAGGTATCAGACGGACGTCACGCGAGCACGCGCTCACAGAAGTGAGATGTCACAACTCTGTTTCATTCTCTCCTCACGAAACTCGCATTTTTAGAGAGTTGTTCGGTAAACTCACCTTGGCCCCGCAGAAGCCCGCATAGAGACAACAACAGCACAATCACACACAGATCCATGTATCCACACACTCGCGACGCTTCTGTGCTGAGAGGACTTTACAAGCCTGTGAGACGAGAGACAGTCGCGATGAGGGCTTTAATGGGCGCGTGCCCGCTGCGCGTTCGGGGGGCAGGACCGAGCACTCTCGCGCAATCACGAACTTGTTTTATTTATTATTTGGCTATTTATTTTATTTTATTGCAGAATGTATGTAGGCTACATAACAAGACAGGAAACAATCAACAAAGTAAGACACTTCCACTGAGACTAACACAGAGTTGAATTTGAGAAATAGAAGGGAAAAAGGAGATGTTGACATCAGACAAATATAGGCTAGCCTACTAAAATAGTTCATATCTGGACGGAGAGAATCCCGAACATTAACAGATAGCCTGTCACACAGATAAATCCCTGATCTGTGGGAAGCTCGGGTTAGCCAAATGTCATTGTTATTGAGGATTAAAGAAAGATGCATACACTTTCTTACACTATGTAGATCCCTTAATAGTGTGCAATGATTTTACAGCAGTAAATAATTAAAATATCTCTTAATAGAGTTGCTGTCTGTTTTTAACCCTTTCATGTTAAATAAAACCAATAATTGATAATTATGTAATTGTGTGGGTGTGTGAGAGAGAGAGAGAGTGTGTGATACTGATATTTAGTGTGTAAACCAATGTAAACCATTTTAATTTTTTTAAATGAAATTCTGATATTTAAGAATTAAAAACCTAAAATCAGGAGCTCTTTCTCAACAGTTCCTGATTTGAGCTGTTAATATGATTTACACATTACACGTTCATTCATTTTTCAGACATGTCTACACTGTCTCTTCGATGGCGGTTCGTTTGATTAAAGAGAGTAATTAGAGTTTATCTCTACAGGGTTTATGAATGATGATCTCTGAGGGTTTGCTTTCCCCGTCTGGAGAGGATCATTATCACACACTCCGCAGACATATCAAATATTTCTACACATGCACACTCTCGGTTAGAAATCGTACTCTCTGAAATCTCAAGAATGAAATTGATCCCCTCAGCCAGTTTTCATTCACTCATAGAGCAATAAATCAGCCTGACGGAACTCTTTTATTTCTGTTTTTTTAACTTTATTTGCTCTTTCCGGACGCGGTAAACTCTGCTTCATCACATCCACAGACTCTGAGAAACGCTTAGATGTGAACTCAAACCCTTAATGAGGCCTGAAGAATATCTCTACTCAGATATTGAAATGATCCTTCGTATAATTGTATAATTCCAGGAGATGAATTGATCATTCTAGAGATATTCACCAAAGCTATGACATGATGTTGAAATGTTTACAGTTTTAATAGTTTTTAATGCTTAACAAAGTTTATAGGCTATAATGTTTAATCCATGTCATGCATATTGTTCAGAAATCCCTCAAAATACCAATTCTACACTCTCAGAAAAAAAGGTACAAAAGCTGTCACTGGAGGTGTCATAAGGTAAACCTTTGTCCATTTTAGGTGCTAATATGTACATTTGAGGTGATAATATGTACATTTTATGTGATAATATGTCCATTTTAGGTGCTAATATATACATTTGAGGTGATAATATGTACATTTTATGTGATAATATGTCCATTTTAGGTGCTAATATGTACATTTTAGGTGGTAATATGTACATTTTAGGTGCTAATAGTCCATTTCAGGAGCAAATATGTCCATTTTAGGTGCTAATATGTACCACTAAGGTAATATGCAGCCTTTGGATACAAAAATGTACCTTTTTAAAAGGTACAGCCCCAGTGACAGCTTTTGTACCTTTTTTTCTGAGAGTGTGCTGAAATAGAGTAAATGCACATGCAAGTTATACAATGTATAGTTGTAAAATCTGATTGGATGAGCTGCGTTCAGTGACTAGAGGACCTTTGTGAAGCCACCCTCATGAGTTATACTACATTCACACACACAAACACACGTATCTCTCCCTCACACACATCTAATTTCCTGAAATTAGCAATCATGAGTGGAATAATTGCCAGATGATATAATAGACTTTGCTCTGCCAGAGTCTGGAGTTTCAATCCATTGCTCCCTCTGGGCAGATAATCAGAGCCAGATGCTGAAGAAACACACACACACACACACACACTCAAATTGCAGAAGTATTAGATTTCTACACTGCATTGATGCTTGTGGGCGGTTCCCGAGTGTTTCTTTATTTTATTTATTTACATAATCCAAAACAACAACAAAAAAATGCATTCAATGTGTAAATGTGTCATAATGCAAGTTTCCTCAGATTGAAAGCCATAATCTCGTGAAGTCCTGCAGATCTGGATCAGGCTGAGGGATCTGCATCCAACAGGTGAGAATCTCCACAACCTGAAGTGTGTGTGTGTGTGTGTGTGTGTGTGTGTGTGTGTAAGGAGCTTGTAAGGGCCCCTGTGATGGATCCCAGACTCCAGTTCAACACACACACACACACTCTCAGCGCGCTGCTATCTTTATGAAGGGTTTAACGAGGACCAGCGCTGAGCTGAACTGAAGCTTTCAGAAGGAAGTGGCACGGCAGAGGTCATCTCTAAACGACGGGAATCTCTCAGGGGTTTCGGCTCTCTTTTGAACTCAGAATGGGTCCGTCCGGTCTTATCTGTGTCACACAGCGGTGGGTCTCAGACCCACTCAGACCCCCGTAAACTGCTTTCAAAGGGCCAGAGGAACCAGAACTGAGTAACAGCTTTATTTCCTATTACGGTAATATCTACAATAGTGGTCAACTAGTTTTTTTTGTTTGGTATTTTTTATCGGTCAGTGATGATATCTGGCAATCAGCAACTGTGAGACTCAGAAGGAATCATTTATGTATATATATATATATATATATATATATATATATATATATATATATATATACACACAAATGCAAAAAATGTGGGTGTATATGAAGAGTTCAGATGCAAAAGCCTCTAAATGCCATTTGAAATTTTCTTCTTTAATGATGATTTTTATCAAACTTGTATATTTAAGTTCAGAAATTTCACTTAAATAACAATTAATAGGTAATTATCATTGCCATTTAAGTGAAATCACTGAACTTAAATATACAAGCTTGATAAAAATGACCATTCTAGAAGAAAATTTCAAATGGCACTTTGAGGCTTTTGCATCTGAACTCTTCATATACACAATAATAAAGTTCATGCATGCATTTATTTTATTTATCTATTTATGCATGCATGCACTTTATTTAATGTGTATATACACCCATATTTTTTTGCATTTGTGTGTGTACATAGGCTACATGAACAATTTTAATTATTGTAGTTTTTACAATTAATTAAGTAAAATTGGTATATACACTGAACAAAATTATAAATGCAACACTGTTGTTTTTGTCCCCATTTTTCATGAGCTGAACTCAAAGACTTTTTCTATATACGCAAAACGCCTATTTCTCTCAAATATTGTTCACAAATCTGTCTAAATCTGTTATTGAGATGATCCGTCCACCTCACAGGTGTCTGATAAACCTTTGATCCTTCAAAGACGAAATGAAACCAAATGTTTAGTCGTGCATGAGATGTCACACACAGATTGACTCTAGTTATATGATTCAGTCCTCGACAGCTTGTTTGAATCTGAATGACGTCACTTGGGTCTTGTACTCGTTTGCTCGAATAAAATCTAAACACCAGAGATGTTTCCGCAAAACCAAAGCAATCACAGACCAGACGGAAAGACCAGCATGAAATCTAGACTAAACAACTTCACTCGAGAGACTCGAGGCGCGCCAGAACACGTGATTCAGATTCCAGATTTCCCGCTCAAATATTGTGTACGATTAAAAAATGCCATGCAGCTGTAAAAGAGATTTTAATGTAATGATTTATTTAAAAATATTTAATTTTTTAAATGTATTTAAACTTTATTTATTTTAATATTTTATTATAAATGTATTTATTTACAAAAACATATTTATTTAAAACATTTTTATGTATTTAAAAATGTTTATTATTTTATGCAGTGCATTTTATTCTGATTATTTACTTATTTAAAATAATAAAAATATTGTAACATTTAAATAAATAAAAACTCTTTATTTCAATAAAATACATAAAATAACTTCATTAATAAATGTATTTCAATATATATTTATTTATTTAAAATGTTTATTTATTTTAAAAACATTTATTTATTTTAAAAATATGTATCCTTATTTGCATAATAGCATATTTATATATTCATTTTAAATAATTGTTTTCAATAAAAATTTATTGTATCTTTTATATCTTTTATTTATTTATTTATTTATTTATTTATTTTTTACTTTCCCCAGAACAAGTGAGATTTCTCTGTGTGACTCTCACAGATCCTCATTGCCTCTTTCTGATGGATGTCAGCAACATTTGGGATAAATGTGTTATAAAGCCTCTCGTCGGACGGTTGTGAGAGGAGCCGTAAACTCCCCCTCGTTGTGTCCTGTGATGCCCCCCCGGTGTGGGTCCCGGTGGGGTCGGGCCCTGTGATGTGGCCCCCCTCTGAGAGGCCTGATGTGGGTCCTACATCAACATGTTTCCACCGTAGCCGAACGCGAACACACAGCGCTAAAGAGCACGTTTCGGCACTACCCTGAAAACTAGAAGCCATAAACACCGTGAGTAGTGACTTTTCCATTGTCAATGGTGTAATATGTAGTTGGACTGTTTCATGTAACTTAGTTCATGTTCTTCTCCCTCGCTGTGTTATGGCTTTGCTATGTGGAGATAACTGTGCTGGTTATGTTTGTGAGACAATCAGCTGATTACTATTATATTATATTATATTATATTATATTATATTATATTATATTATATTATATTATATTATATTATATTATATTATATATTAAGACCCTTGATCCTCACCTGACTATGGCTTTGTAAACTTAATCCATGATGTGGTTTATAATGGACTGTGGTTCAGAAACAGTGACAATGTTACACACTCTTGGCTTACTCTGGCTATTCTCAGGTGACGAGATGTTTGTCCCGTTTTAGCCACCGTAGCTTCTTCGAAAGGGAGGGGTGAGCAGTGGGCACCCTTAGTGCAGACTCGCAACCAAACCACTAAATGTCGCTAAAAATCACACACTGCACCTTTAGCATTAAAAGTAGTTTAAGTTAACGTTAACGTGATAATTATTTATTTAAAATGTATTTATATTATTTTTGTGTGTAATTAATTAAAAGTATTTATTTATTTATTTATTTATTTGAAATAAAATTGTATTATAAATAAAATGTATAAATAAAAATGTACCTGTATTTATTTATATACATAAATTGTTCATTTATTTAATATTTTTAAATGTATTTATTAAAAACTTATTTATTGTTTATTTATTTAAAATATATTTGTTTAAACATTTATCTAAACAAAATTAAAAATGTTATTTTACAAATTATTTTATATACTTATATTGTGAAAGTATTTAAAAAGTATTTATTTATTTAAAATACAAAAGTGTATTTTTTAAATTAAAATATTTGTATTTATGAATTTAAAAATGTACACATGAATTTACTTAAATTATTAATTTACATTAAACATTTATTTACTATTTTTGAACGTTTTTTAATAAATATTTAAAATAAATTTGTATTTATTTAAAAACCATTTACTGAAACATTTATTTAAAAAAATATAAATATTTATAAAAAAAATATTAATATACTGTTTCTGTGTGTAATTGTTAAAAATTATTTATTTAAAATAAAGATGCATTTATTTAAAATAGCAAAATATTTATTAAAAAATATTTTCTGAGGCATTCAACAAGGTATATATTTATATATTTTTAAACTGTATGTATTTATTAAAAACATGCATTTTGTATTTATTAATTTATTTATTTAATTATTTTTTTCCCCAAATGTGAGTCACTAATTATAATGAAAATGGTTCTACTTTGTAAGGCCTCATTTTAAACAACACACATTCACAATGGGTTTTCTGCCCTCTTGTGGTAGTACTGAACAGTTGCCTGACTGGGATTATGGTATGGTATTGATTTGTAGATAACTGAACCCCTAACCCTGAGTTAAATATTACTGTAAGTTTATTATTAACCACATAAATGAGTACCCATAAATGATACGTATGCATGTGTGTGTTTGTGTAGACTCATATACTGTATCAACTATATAATTAAATATGTTTAAATGTTGAGTATATTATTTCTTACATTTTCTATATTTTAATATGCAAATATATACAGTTTCTGATATAAAGCGATTTTTATAGTGATTATATAGGGATTCTCTGATATAAAAACATTTGTTTATTAAGTTGTTTTACAGGTGTACTGCTCATACTGAGTATCCATTATATGATGAATACTTAAACTTCATATGAAGATCGTGCAGTTTTTCTCGCTATATATTATGAATAATGAATTGGGACACTGATACAAGAAGTGTAAATGCTTCAGTTCCACACTAGAGGTCCCTGTTGATCTCATTTGAATTGACATACACTTCAGAACAGTGTCTGGAAACACCCGCACAAACACTGTTTGAGGGAACAGCTATTTGTAGTTGTGTCCGAAACCATAGTGGACGTTATCGTGTAGCCTGTTATATCGCTTAAATAGGCCTATTGCATTTTTGCCGTGTGTCACTTTAAATCCTCGAGCTCTTTAAAGCAGGACTCTTATTGGCTGTCAATGTTTTGTCCGTTTTTTTGTATCAGCTGGACAAATTGTTGATGTCGTTCCTCTGTGCCGTTATCATTATAGATGTGGTGTGATATTTGCTACGATTTTTAATTTAGAACTATATCTCAGCTAACAAGTGGATATTTTCTAAGAAAATGTTGCTAAAATTCCTAGTTATTAAAAAAAAACTTCTTTTTTCTGAATACGTTCTTTGAACGTCCTTTTTTTAGAACGTTACGGGAACATTCCATTTCATCACTTTACAAACATTACTAGAATGTTACTTTTGAATGTTCTCTGAACGTTCTGAAACAAGTATAAAAATATTAGATTAACATGCAACTAAATTGTTACCGGAAGAAAAAAACAATATCATGAACGATGTATGAATAATGTTTTTGTGCTAACTGTTTTTTCAAGAACAATAATGGAGAACAAATACCTCTAGAAATGAATGTTTTATTAATGTAACATCGATGAACTTTTGTTCAGAACTTTGAGAGAACCTTGTTAGAATGTTAGCCAAAGTTCTGAGAACGTTAACTGAATGCGCCTGAAAAGTAATTATTGTTGCATTTTGCACATGTGTGTGTATGTGGTATTTTTTCCGTACATAAATGTATGTTTACACGACAACGATTCTATAAACGGAAACAATTTTCTCAAAAGTTTGCGCAGATCCGTGAAAACAACTGAAAACGTTTTCTGCTGCCAGGCCACTAGATGGCGGTAAATAAACACACAGACTGAATACATAACACGCAAGTGTGTTTTTGTAGATAAGGGATTTCGAAAACTTGCACATTGGGAATGTGTTTACACGACAGCGTTTTCAAATAAAAACAGAAAACTTCTTATGGCCGTTTATTTATACGACAACAGCTTTTTTGCGTGCCTGAAAAAGTTTTGAAAACTACAAAAACGCAAATCATCACCACCTACTGGCCTGGCATGAATAAAACAGCGTTTTTAGTTGTTTCCCTGTATATACCTGTACGAAAAAGCTGTTTTTGTACATTTTTGTCATGTAAACAATATACAATAACGTTGAATCCCGCTTTTTTCCATGTTAATGTATGGTTGAAAATGTTTTTTCATTGAAACTGGTGTCGTGTGAGCGTTAAGTAGCCTAAACTTCACTGCTGAAGCTGAAGTGAGTCTCATGCACAGGGCGCTCTAGCACTTTCTTGCTGTCCTGTTTATCCTCTGCCAGGATCTTTTACGCAAGCAGTCCCCCACTGCGTCTTTAGGACCCCCAGCACAACCGTGAACTGTGCTCAACGGGACCCAGCATGCTCAAACTCATAATTAACAGCGTTCTTGTCCCGGTTAAGACGAGGTGATGTTAAACGAGAGAGACGGAGCGGGGACCTTTGGAAGTGATGTGGAGAACTTGCAGGAAAAACATCTCCGAGTTCCTCTTTATTGATGCTCAATGTTTCAAAATCACAATGTGGAACAATAAGTTCAGACAAGATCCCCTTTTTTTGTTTAAAGCAGATGAGGAAGGAATGTGTGTGTAATTAAACGCTCAGGAATAATCTGTAAACATCCTTCAGAACATGTGATGCTGATAGTCGGCATATTCAACACACGATAACCTAATCTAAATCACTGTATTTCCTACTTTATGCATTGTAAATTCTCACTAATAAAACATCCAGGCTAAATTTCAGCCCAAAATTGAAAGAAAAAAAATATTTTGATTTAATTTGTTGCATTGTGGCATTATTTTTGAGACCCTTATTTTTTTTAATTCAAAAATATATCTTTGTGTGTGTGTGTGTGTGTGTTTTATTCTCTGTATATTTTTAACTGTAAAACACTCAAACTGGTTGATTTAACATTTTGTATATTAAAAATCTGTGTAAATTCAGTGCAGTAAAAATGCTAAAAAATGGTTTCAATTATGATCTTTTTTTCCACATTTCAGGTATGAAAACGAGACGTTGCATCAGTGGCTGTGAAAGGAAACCCTGAGTACTTTCACTGACGGATCACCTCTAGCACAGTTTAGTGTTGAAACGCTGTTAACGTCGCATAAAGGAACATGTGCAGCTGCCCGCTTCACTTAGACAACAAGACGATTAATGGCCAGAAAATGGACTTGCTGAAGTCTCAGATGTTTCTCCTGAGGAAAACACCGTAATCTCACGTGTGTGTGTGAGACTGTGTCAAACTTTCTGCTCACATTTACTCAAGAGTCTGCAATCAGAAGTCAGTCAGAGATCACCTTGCAAAAATAAGTTTATTCGATTGTGCTATTAGTAAACTTCTTTTAAACTCAAAACAAGAAACTATACTTTCAGTCTACTTTTACTTCTCAGAAATATACTTAAAATCTTATACTGACAGAAAAGTCTACAGTAAGTATATTTGGCCTATACATCGAAATCGAGATATATTTAAAAATAATTTAAGTATACTAAGTAAGTATAATTGGCTTGTAGTTGTGTTTACTTAGTTTTACTGAAACGTACATGAATATTGATTTATAATGAAAACATCTAATTCTGAGTATGTGAATCATAAGAATTTACTTTTCAAATTTCCTTAATATTGCAATAAAAATGAATACCTAGGAACTAGTGTACTTAAAGTGCAAAAATAATATACAAATGGTTAACTTTAAGTAGGCCTATGTCAATTTCACTTAAAGAACTCAAGTTGCAGTCTAAAACGATTAATCTACTGAGAGTATACATCCAATTGTACTTTCATAAATTAAAAAATGTGTAACAATTTGACTAGCAAACTAGTATAACTATAAGTTCACTTGTTGCAGTATAGAAAAATCTAGTTTTCTAGTACTCAGTTTACTTTTATACACTAAAATGTTGGCCAATTTAGTCCCAAGTATTGAAATCGTACACTTATAAGAATAGTCCTTGTACACTGATATTAGTATACTTAAAAGTATCAGGGTCTTGATATGAACTCAAATATTTGTCATCAAATAATCTAAGCTGCTCACATTCGTTTTAAAGCTCTACTGGATGACAACTAGTGACTCATTTGCCTTTTTTTAAATGAATTTTAGAAGAATAATCTGAGATGAAATGAACGCCTTACTCAAATATAACTGCGATCTCCATTAAATGTGCAGAGCTGTGAAAGAGCAGCATCTGAGCCGTAAAACTGTCTTCTGCGAGAGAGAAATGCTTGGTTTATTCTCCTAAATGAGCATCATTGAGTCGCTGGGAAGAAAAACACTCTTCCTTGAGCATCAGTATGCAGGGAACGACTGAAGACACAAAGAAAGAGGAGAAGAAAGGAATGGATGAATGAGGAAACCGTTTTGAATGCACAGACAAGCTGAATTAAAAGAAAAACATCCAAAGTATCAATAATACATCGAAAACAGTGCTTTCACAGGTTTGTGAGGGTGCTTGCATTGCTATGTGGTTGTTAGGGTGTTCGAAGTTGTTGTTAGAACATTGCTGGGTGGTTGCCAGGGCGTTGCTATGCTGTTACTAATGTAATCTGAATCCGATTAGTGTTCTTTGTTGTTGCTAGGGTGTTTGGGAGGTTACCACTGCGTTGCTATGCACTTGCTAAGGTCTTCAAAGTGGTTTTTAAAGCATGCACTTCAATGTGGCTCTGAGATTGTTCTAGATGGTTGCTAGGGCGTTGCTATGCTGTTACTAATGTATTCTGGAAGCGTTTAGTGTTCTTTGATGTTGCTAGGGCGTTTGGGAGGTTAGCACTGCGTTGCTATGCACTTGCTAAAGTCTTCGGAGTGGTTTTTAAAGCATGCACTTTTGTTTGGCTGTGAGATTGTTCTAGATGGTTGCTAGGGCGTTGCTATGCTGTCACTAATGTATTCAGAAAGCATTTAGTGTTCTTTGATGTTGCTAGGGTGTTTGGGAAGTTACCACAGTGTTGCTATGCACTTGCTAAGGTCTTCGGAGTGGTTTTTAAAGCATACACTTTTGTTTGGCTGTGAGATTGTTCTAGATGGTTGCTAGGGCGTTGCTATGCTGTTACTAATGTATTCTGAAAGCGTTTAGTGTTTTTTGATGTTGCTAGGGCGTTTGGGAGGTTAGCACTGTGTTGCTATGCACTTGCTAAGGTTTTCGGAGTGGTTTTTAAAGCATGCACTTCTGTTTGGCTGTGAGATTGTTCTAGATGGTTGCTAGGGCGTTGCTTTGCTGTTACTAATGTATTCTGAATGTGTTTAGTGTTCTTTGATGTTGCTAGGGTGTTTGAGAGGTTACCACTGTGTTGCTATGCACTTGCTAAGGTCTTCGGAGTGGTTTTTAAAGCATGCACTTTTGTTTGGCTGTGAGATTGTTCTAGATGGTTGCTAGGGCGTTGCTATGCTGTTACTAATGTATTCTGAAAGCGTTTAGTGTTCTTTGATGTTGCTAGGGTGTTTGGGAGGTTACCACTGTGTTGCTATGCACTTGCTAAGGTCTTCAAAGTGGTTTTTAAAGCATGCACTTCTGTTTGGCTGTGAGATTGTTCTAGATGGTTGCTAGGGCGTTGCCGGGTGTTTGCTAAGGTGAATTTTCAGGGTTCTTCTGTGAAATTGTCCAAACTGAAATCCATATTGAAAAAGGCATTTTCAGAGTGTTTTTAGGGTGTTTGGTATGGTGTTCTGGATTGCTGCTACCTGCTAGTGTATTTTGCCTGGTTGCCAGGGTGTTGCTATGTGGTGCATAAGGTGTTATAAGTGTTTGTTCACTGTTTGTTGTTGCTAGAGCTGCACAATTCCAAACAAAGTTGAGAATCACGATTGTTTTCGTTTTAAATAGAGATCACGATTCTCCCACGATTCTGAACAGACAGCTAAACAAAATAATGTAATTTAATATAGAGATTCAGACAAAATTGTATTTGCTGCATGCAATCAATTTAAATTTTTTTTAAATTAATTTAAATGATTATTTTTTAAGTCAGGTTGAGTGAATACTTGTTTCATTACTAGGTGAATCAGCGTTTTTGAATGAATCTCATGAACAAATGATTCAATGACAAACATTTTTTTAACAGTCTCCAATCGCCACCTACTGGCATAATGATGTAATTGATCAAATCTTTAGTTGAAGCTCCAAGTTACATTCAAAAGGAGATTTGCTCTATTTTGATTGCAAACGTATAGACATCAGTGTTTATATATCCGAACTATAAACTTTTATCCTAATATAGTTCTGTGATAATTTGAATATTTGTAACATATAAAATGATACTGTCTGGTTGGCAACAGCTCTCTCTGGCTCAGATCTGAATGTTCACTTTGATTGTACTTCTCAAAGTACAATCTTGTTAATAAGATCACGAGGGTGTTTGAATCAAGATCGCAATCTTTTAATGTCCCCCTGTAGTCACTCATTTTATCCTTTAATCACCTTAAATCAACAAAAAGACACATTTAGCCATGAAATCTTGAATGTAACTCGACACCCTTGCCTCATTTAGTACAGGCAGTTCTATGAATATGCAAATGAGCCCCGCCTCCACTCAGAGATCCACTGGTTGACGATCACACGTTGCTCTGATTGGTTATAAGGTCGTTTGTGACGTCAGAAACACCAGCGATTTCACATCGTGTTTTTGAGACTGCTTTGGTTCATTGCAGAAAATACTCAGCAATGCTGTCGACTTATGAATTTACACATGGTTTGTCTTAAAGCCTATTAAAAACACCATATATAGACACATAAACAACATTAAAAGCTGGATTTTCACCACAGGGCAAAGCAAAATGACACTTGTTTTTTATTTCTATATGAAATAAAAAATAAAACTGACTGCACTCTTCAAATGAAAAAGATAACATCACGTTTGTATCCCAATAAAAACATGAAAACATGCCTGCTTTTGACCAATTTATAAGCATATGTCCCATGATCCTCTCTAGAGATTCAGTCTAAACCCCATTTGTTCATTTGTTGAGAAGCTGGTGTGATCCGGGTGGTCTTTTGAGACCGAGCCATAATGTTTCCTTTCTCTGGTGTCCTTCAGCTGAGAGAGAGAGAGAGAGAGAGAGAGAGAGAGAGAGAGAGAGAGAGAGAGAGAGAGAGAGAGAGAGAGAGTTATGCAATCCGTCAAAGCCTCACGGTCTCAGTGTTTTGTGAATGGGAGCGAGAGGGAGGAGTTGGACTTAGACCATCCAGGACTGACTGACTGACTGACTGACGGGATTCACCAAACCAGAAAACCTTCACATTATAGAGCAAAACCTGAGAATATACAGGACTCTTCCCCCGCAACGTCCCGATGAAGGGTGAGTCTTGTCAGATTGTCTTCTGCTGTTTCATGTTTGCTCAGAGAAACGCATGCATGCTCGTGTAGATTCTTATCAAAACCAGTTTTTTTTTTTACTTCATGATATCTTTCCAATGAGCATGATGCTCAGCATGAACTTGATTACTGTTGCAGTTTCGTCGTGCACGGTTCTGTCAGGAGTTTGGATATGAACTATCTTTCCTTATTGCCTTTAAGGCAATGAAACTAAGTTTCATTAGTTAGCCTAAAACCTTAGTTAACTAACTAGTGAACTAAAATGAACATGTTATTACTTTAACGAAGATTAATAAATAGGCCTACTGTATTAAATGTAGGCTATTGCTTATGGTTAGGTAAGGACAGGTAATACGTTAGGTAATATTACCTAATGAATCTTATTACAAAGTTGTCCCCATTTTTTTTACATTTTATAATAGCACTAATTAAAATATATACATAATAAAAGTCACTTAAACTCAGCTTTTATATTCAAGCTTCTTGTTTGTCTATTAGCTTTTCTCATTCAAGTGTGTGATGAGCAATTCATGATGGCTTTCCCTCACTAAAATATTAGTTTTATAATGACATTTTGTATGTGTACACAATTTACACGACTGTTCAAAAGTTTGGAGCCAGTAAGAAATTAACAGGCTAATCAATGATGCATTAAATTGGCCAAAAGTGACAGTAAAGATCAATGCAACAAAATAAATGCTGTTCTTTTGAACTTCCATTCATCAAACAATCCGGAAAAATAAAATATATTGGGGTTTCCACAAAAATATGAAGCAGCACGACTGTTTTCAACACTGATAATAATCAGAAATGTTACTTGAGCATCAGATCATCATACTAGAGTGATTTCTGAAGGATCACGTGACACTGAAGACTGTAGTAATGATGCTGAAAATACAGCTTTGATCATACAAATAAATTACATTTTAACATATGAAGAGTTCAGATGCAAAAACCTCTAAATGCCATTTGAAATTTTCTTCTTTAATGATGATTTTTTATCAAACTTGTATATTTAAGTTCAGTAATTTCACTTAAATAACAATTAATAGGTAATTATCATTGCCATTTAAGTGAAATCACTGAACTTAAATATAAAAGTTTAATAAAAATCGTCATTAAAGAAGAAAATTTCAAATGGCATTTAGAGGCTTTTGCATCTGAACTCTTCATATATTCACATAGAAAACTTTTATTTTAAATTGTAAAAATGTTTCACAGTTTTACTGTATTTTTGATCAAATGTAATTTGTAACATGTTTGTCTTTAAAATGTATTTACACTTACAGAATTACTTAAATTTTCAAGCTGTTAGATCATAATGTAAAATCATGAGCATCATAACAATATTGTGTCTAAACTTTTGAACATTGTAAAAGAAGAAGAATCAATTTCCTGCAACTTCATTCATTCTTGCAATACATTTTTTTTTTCACTTTGTGTAAAAATGGTGTTCAAAACGAATGCAGATGCATGAGGAATTTCAGCCATTCGTCTACACAAACCTGCCACTGTGTGATATATGTAGACGTTTCATATGCAGTTCGTTCCTTTGGGAGTTTCCCACTTCAGATATCCACACCACATTACAACATGTGTTATTCTGCCCGTATGATCGAACAATGAGCCGCAAAAGCACAAACTGAACTCGTTAATTTCAATTTGCATTCACAGCAATAGTGAAGAATCCCAATAATAAGCTGAAGATCTATGACACATGCGTGTGATATATGAACGCTGGTGCGTTTTGGCTGTAATGTGAGGATTATTTATTGATGTTTTTGCCTGTATGTTCCAGCTTTGTGTCAGCAAGTTGAGAGATTTACCGAGCTGGCAGAGATTCAAGTGAGCTTTTGTTAAAGACTGGATTTTCATTCGTCCTGCAAGTATCTTCCACCTGTAATACACTGACAACCACCAATCAGTGATGAGAGTCACATGAAAATATTTATTTGAAATTTTTATTTTCATGTGTGTTTCATGTAATAAACATTAATTTAACAACATGAAATGTAATATAAAACCCGAATGTAGCCTACATAATTAACTAGTAAAAAACAAACAAACAAGAGAAAACAGTTATTTCAACAAAAATACATCAAATGTGAGAAGTGTCACGCAGGGAATTGTGGGAATGTCAATTTACGTTTTTTAACTGTAAATTCTTCAATGAGTTGTTCATTTGTTCATTTTCAAAACCTGTAAATTTACCATGAGATCTATCACAGTTATTTACCGTATATAGTACGGAAACTTTCTGTTAACCGAGAGTTTTGCACTGTAGCATTCTTAACTGATTCTTTTCTCATGAGAAACATTTGAGAAACAGCATCTCAGTGCTGTCTAGGAGAAACAGTCGAGATATTAAAGAGATCTGTGCGTCGTTCTTCCTGACTTTCATATCTTTGGGGAAACTTGAGATCTCTTTTGAAACTCTAGGTGAGATTAGTAGGCGTTTCTTTTCTCGTGAGAAACATCTGAGATGCAGGAGACTTCAGCTGGCCGGTTTGTGTCTTGTTGATGCCTACGTGAAACGGTTATGATTTTAAAGAGATCTATGTTGAGTTTTTTCTTTCGTATCTTTGGGGAATATGAGAACAGTTTGAGATCTCTTTTGAGAGATTATTTGTAAGAGATTAGTGGGCGTTTTTCCTCAGGAGAAACATGAGACTTCAGTCCATTAGCTCTCGTTTAGTTTTATTAAAGTGTCCAGAAACAGAAAGAGATCTATTTCCTTTGTTACTGTACCTTTGGGAAATCTGAGCAAAGTTTGAGACGTCATTGAGCTCAATAGCAGAAGACACTCAATTTGGTCTCTATTTAATCTCTTTGAGATCTAGGAGAAACAATTGAGATGGGCCTACTAAAAAGTTTTTTTCCCCGGATAATTCTGTTTTGAATGCAGAGTTTGGTTTTGTAGAAAGTCTGAGCATCATTTGACATGTTTTTGAGATCTATTCTGAAATACATCAGAATTTAAAACATGTGGAATATACATTTTAAGTTATGGGGCTGTGCAATAATATCACGGCTTTTTGAATATTCATATTTCTTGTCGATATCTGTTTGTATGTTTCTGTATGTTTTATGTAAGTTTGTACCACTGAGAAGAACCACTAAATTATATATACTGTGCAATGACAAAAAAAAATTCTATTCTATTCTATTCTATTCTATTCTATTCTATTCTATTCTATTCTTTTCTATTCTAGGGGTGTTAGAGCATTTTCTTCCTATGCTAAGCTTTGGAATTCTCTCAGGGAAGCAAACACGACATTAGTGACTTTTAAAACTCTTCTTAAAACATTTTATTTTAGGATTTCTTTTACTTGATTATTCATTTCTATTTTTTTATTTAAAATTAATTTTTTGTCTGTTGTTATGTTTGCCTGTAAAGCGCTTTGAGAAAGCAATTTTAAAGGCACTAAAATAAATGTATTATTCTATTCTATTCTATTCTATTCTATTCTATTCTATTCTATTCTATTCTATTCTATTCTAGGGATGATAGAGCATTTTCTTCCTATGCTAAGCTTTGGAATTCTCCCAGGGAAGCAAACACGACATTAGTGACTTTTAAATCTCTTCTTAAAACATTTTATTTTTATTTTTGGATTTCTTTTACTTGATTATTCATTTCTATTTGTTTATTTTTGTATTTAAAATTAGTTTTTTTTTGTCTGTTGTTATGTTTGCCTGTAAAGCATTTTGAAAAAAAGCTAATTTTAAAAGGCACTAAAATAAATGTATTATTCTATTCTATTCTATTCTATTCTAGGGGTGATAGAGCATTTTCTTCCTCTGCTAAGCTTTGGAATTCTCTCAGGGAAGCAAACACGACATTAGTGACTTTTAAAACTCTTCTTAAAACATTTTTTTTTAGGATTGCTTTTGCTTGATTATTCATTTCTATTTGTTCTATTTGTCTCATTTTTGTATTTAAAGTGTGTTTTTTTCTCTGTTGTTGTTATGTTTGCCTGTATAGCGCTTTGAGAAAGCAATTTTTTAAAGGCACTATTTAAAATAAATGTATTATTCTATTCTATTCTATTCTATTCTATTCTATTCTATTCTATGAAAGTCTTGAGGTCACACGTGGTTTTCTAAGGAGAACAATCTGAGAGGCAGGAGACCTGAACAGAAACTCTGTTTGCTCTCCCTTTAATATTTTTGAGCAACAATTGAGATGACAATGAGATTTGTTTGTAATTTTCTGTCCGGCCGTCAGAAGCGCGTCTCTATGTGTGATCTCATCTCTGGCCTGGTGAAAACGTCAGTAAACTGAGATCAAACTGCCAAACAAACCTAAGTCCTAAGTCCTTCGTTGCTTCATTCCTTCAGGTGTCTTGTTAATGCAAGAGTCTATTTTTACCAGTCTGGTAATGCTGTTGAGTTTTCACTGAGGACTGTGACACGGGTGCGTCCCCCTCCTGTGTCTGCAGCAGAGAAAGAGCACATTCTCAAGGCCTCTGACTCTGCGGGACGTCCGGCATGCTCCATGTTTCAAACCTCAAGCGTGTTGAACAGACTTTTGTCCGTCTGATTAACCTCGGATTTTCTGGTTCCTTCACTGTAAAACATAATTGTTGGCTCTTAAAAAAGGTTGCCTTTACCTTTTGAGTTCGATTATATATTAAACAATTGAGTTAATCCAATGAAGGAGTTTGGTTTAATCAATAGAAACTCAAAATATGATTTTTTTTACAGTGTTGAAGCTGGTTCAGGACTTGCAAAAGTGCTGAAATGCATTTAAAAAGTTGTACGGTAGCCCGGACATTCAGCAAAACATCTCCTTTTGTGTTCCACGTAAGAAGGAAAGAATTGTTGAATGTCTTTGATTTGTACTCGTGAACCGCAGAGACGAGTCCGACTCGTTAATGCGAGCTGACAGATATGAACACGGTGAGTGAGTCTTCTGTTTCGCACACTGAGAGAGTCTTTTCAGCAGTGCTGGGTGTTGTGTGGCCGTATCCCACAATGCTCGTGCGATCTGTCACTATCATTGCATGCATGGGGTCATGTGACGCCGTCTCCATTAATGCTCTCTAGAACGGGGATAGTGAGTTCTGTCATCATTTACATAACACGGATATGACAAAAGGAGAAGCAGTGAAAACGTCATTTTTAGATATTAGCTGTCCTGAGTGCCATTTGAGTGTGTTGCTATGCGGTTGCTAAGGTGTCCTGGGTGCTTTTGGAACATGTTGCTTTCCAGTTCAGGTTGTTAAGGAGTGTTTTATCATGTTGCTTTGCACAATTCTATTGTAAGAGAGGGATTGGAGCCAGAAGGGCGTAAGTGGCTTTTAACAAACTTCACAGGAGAGACAAAAAGCAAATTTTTACAAGCATTGCAACCACAGTCATACTTACATGAATGAGTATTTAAGTAAAAAATCTATGGCATATATTAACACAATGACAATGTTCTAAAACATTTTCAAAAAAAAAAAAAAAAAGTCAAATATGTCAGATACGCCTTTTTGTTGCTTTATTCAATACAGTTTGATCTCAGTTAGGTATTTTGGCACCATTGGATAGAGCTCATCGAGACCTTTATTTTGATATAAAGAACTCATATTCGCCCAAAATGCCACTTACGCCCCTCTGGCTCCAAACCCTTGATATTATGCAGAAGCAAAGGTGTGTTTTTTTTGCTATGTAGTTGCTAAGGTCTTCTGAGTGTTTTTTTAGCATGTTGCTATGCAGTTGCTAGGGTATTGCTATGTGGTTGTTAAGGGGGCTTGAGAGATTTAATATGTTGTTGTGCAGTTGCAAAAGCATTCTACAGTTAGATTTGTTTTGTGTGTTGCTATACAGTTGCTAGGCTGTGGATGTTAATGAGTCTTGAGTGTTTTAACATGTTGCTAGGGTGTTATTATGTGGATGTTAAGGTGTTTAGGGTGTTTTCAACATGTTACTATGCAGTTGCTAAGGTGGTTGCCATATGGTTGTTAAGAAGTCTTGAGTGTTTTAATATGTTGCTATGCAGTTGCAAATGCATTCTATGACAGGAGTTATTTTGTATGTTGCTAAGGTGTTGCAATGTGGTTCTTAATCAGTCTTGAGTGTTTTAACGTGTTGCTATGCAGTTTCTAGGGTGTTGACATGTGATTGTTAAAGTCTTATGGGTGTTAACATGTTGCCAGGCAGCAAAATCATTCTATAGTAAGTGTTGTTTTGCATGTTGCTAGACAGTAGCTAGGGTGTTGCAATGTAGTTCTTGTCTTAATCAGTCTTGAGTGTTTTAACATGTTGCTACACAGTTGCTAGGGTGTTGCTATGTGGTTGTTACAGAGCCCTAAATGGTTTTATTATGTTGCTATGCTGTTGCTAGGGTTTTGCAATGTAGTTGTTATGGAGTCCTGGGGTTTTTTATTATGTTGCTATGCTGTTGCTATAGTGTTGCTCTGTAGTTGTCAAGGAGTCTTGAGTGTTTTAACATGTTGCTATGGAGTTGCAAAAGCATTCAATGGTAAGTATTATTGTGAGTGTTGCTAGGGTGTTTTTCACATGCTGTATTTGTATTGAGCCATAACAGATCAGTCGTTTTGTGGCTTCTAAACGTAACGGTTAAAAACATCATGATAAAACATGCAATAATATGCATGGAATTGAATGGGTTCACAAACAGCTTTAGTGCTCAGACTGGTTTATGATGTTTGGGGCTCGTATCTTCATGTTTTACCAGATAAAAACTTTGTATCTTTTATCATGATTGAAAATCAATTAGTTAGTTTGAATTAATTACATCATTCATTGATCAAAATTACCATAAATGATTCATTGCATGTGATTCTAACAGTGTTTGTTCTAAACGCAATGTTGTATTTCTACAGGAGAGAAAGAGATCACGACCAAGATGGACCCGTCTAACGGGCTGAACCGACCGCTGGAGATCGTCCCGCACGCCAAGGTGAAGATGACCGAGCGAGGACAGTGGAGCAACAAGCTGGAGTTTATCCTCTCAGTGGCCGGAGAGATCATCGGACTGGGAAACGTGTGGCGCTTCCCGTATCTCTGCTATAAGAACGGTGGAGGTGAGGAGGCCCAAAAAAATGACACTGACTAATTATCATGTACCTCAAAAATCCATAGATGTGCAAAAACCTGGTGTCCATCGCGAATAAAACATAGTATTAAGTTGGTAAATAATCTAAAAAAACATGTTATTTCCATAAAAATCCATCAAAAAGTACCATAGTACTACCATGGTATTTTAGGAAGTACATATACATATCATTATGGTGCAGAAATCGGTATTACTTGAGCATGATACATGTCCAAAAGCATATCTGAAAAAAATCATGTACAAAATATGTTCAAAAATGTTTGCCCAAAACATGTTTACATAGTAGGCTACTTACAGTAGTACACAAATTTGGTTTATCAGGGTACAAATCCAAAAAAAACAAAGTGTTATCATGGTGCATGTCCAAAAACATATGTTATCATATCACAGATATAATCAGATAAGGTCTCAGCAGTTGATGTGTGTTACGCTTGTATGATTTAGCAGTGTGTCACCATCAGTGCTGAGTGAAGTCTTGTGTAATCGGAGAATCCTTGACTCTCGGACACGCCTCCGATCGGGACGTGTCTGAACATTACATCCAGACTCACTTAACTTACATCAGATATCCTAGATTACGGAAGGGCTTTTCGATCTTACAGATCATTAATGTGCACAAAGGCAGATATTTTTTCGTTAATTCTCTATTATAAATATGTTAAAATATTATTATTATTATGTTTTTTGAAATATTTAGTTATTGTACTGTTAGATGTATTATTTAAATCATTTTCTGTCGTTACATTATCAAATTTTTCTAATGTTATTTATGTAAAAATTAAAATGTAAATAAATATTAAAAATGTAATTATTATTACAGTTTATTTGCATTATTTATTTGAATCAAATTGTAATCATTTATTTTAATAATTTTTTCATTTATTTATTTATTGTAATCAATCAATCGCATATTAATTTATTATTAATTATCTATTTAAATAAAATGCCATGTATTTTAATGTTAATTTATTCCAATTTTTTTCATTTACTTTTATATTTTTATTTTAAGAAATATGTGTATTAATTTTAATCAAAGTTATTATTTATGAATTTATTAATCAAATGTGTTTATTTATTTGTAAAGCTAGTTTGTTTTATCATTTCCTGTATATATTATAACTTTTTTCCACACTAGACTGGTTTGTAAACCCCTGGTATAGAGGATTGAGGTTTAGACAAGGATCGACCGTCTAGATCCCGAATGCTTTAACGTTTGCCAGGTGTTTGTGAAACTGACCTATTGATACGACAGTTGAGCTGATCAAAGTGTTACCAGTTCAGAAGGTGAAAGGTCACAGCTGTTGTTTGATCAGCTCGTAGTGTGTGTCCATACAGAGACGTTTGGGCCTTTGGAAACATTTCTTGAAGCCTTCAGATTCTCTGATGTTTCTCCTGAGAAAAAGAGCGCATGCACTGACTGACTTCATATTGTTGGGTTAAAAAGGACAAATGACCCAACAAATTTGAAAGATAACCCAACATAATGACCCAAAATGCGTAAACCATTGGCTGTGTTAAAAAAACTGCTGCAGTAATCACACGTTTTCCCTCTAGAGTCTCAAACTGTGCTCATTCTCCTCATGATTAATGTCGTCATCCTCTTCCAGGTGCGTTCTTCATCCCCTACCTGATCTTCCTCTTCACCTGCGGTATTCCCGTGTTTTTCCTGGAGATCTCTCTGGGTCAGTTCACCAGCCAGGGAGGGATCACATGCTGGAGGAAGATCAGCCCGCTGTTTGAAGGTCAAGCATCCATCTGAACCCTTTCAATGTGACTCCACGTGTTCGTTAGTTGTTCTTGAAAGCAATGAAGATTTCAAGAAGCAATGAAAAATGACATGTTTTAGATAAAAATCGAATTTGTGAAGACATTTTAGAAGAAAATATTTTATTTAGTTTCAATTCAAAATAATTATTTGTGAAATTTACTTTAAATTTACATTATTTTCAGCATATACGTTCTAAAAAAATGCTGGGTTGGTTTAACCCAATTTTGGGTCAAATATGGACAAATCCAGCCATTGGGTTACATTTTTAAATTGTATTTTTAATCCAATGTTTGGGTTTGTCCATATTTGACCCAAAGTCTATTTTAGTTAAAACAACCCAGCATTTTTTTTTTAGAGTTTTTAAGTTAAAAGATAAACTACGGTAATTAGCATATTCTAAACATTCGCAATTGTTGAACAATGTTACAGCTTTTACATAATCTGTTCAATTAATATTCATTGTATTATTTTTTTAAATAATGGAATTCCACAAAATATTTAGTACTTAGTTTCTATATTATTTATATACATTATAAACAGTTTTTTCATTTTACTCTAGGTTATAGAAGTTTTATGCGCTTTCATCTTTTTTTATTTTGTATAAAAGTATTTTTAATTAAGTACTTCAACCATACATTTCCAACATTCTAATTTTCTTTTCCCAAGTTTTTCAAATGATATTTTAATTTTATTTTATTCCAGCTTTATTTCAATTCCAGAAAATGATTTCAGTAGTTTTAGTTTGCTACAAAAACATTGATTTTGATTCTATTTAAAAAATCATCTCCATCTCGACTGTAGGCATCGGATACGCCACTCAGGTGATTGTGGCTCTGCTGAACTTCTACTACATCATAGTTCTGGCCTGGGGAATATTTTACCTGTCCTTCTCCTTCACCTGGGATCTGCCGTGGTCGTCCTGCAACAACACCTGGAACACAGGTGACGGATGAGTCATGTTGTCATGAATTCACTCCAGAAATGCATAGATCCAGAACAACAATCCAGAGATTCCTGTTGTTTTCCACAGATTCCTGCATGGAATTCCAAAGACGAAATGACTCCATTGACCAAAGTCACCTTGAAAACTCAACATCGCCCGTGATCGAGTTCTGGGAGTACGTTTTACAAGCATCTTCTTTCTTACTCTAACATTCCATTTTATCATTGTGCAAACATTTTTGGAATGCTACTTTTGAAAGTCCTTGAACATTCTAAAACACGTAACATTTAAAAATAAATATTCCATTTGAACAAACGTTCTGTTAACGTTCCAGGAAGAACGTTCCCTGTTAGATGGGGCTGTTTTTACTTTTTAGATCTCAAAATACCTCCGATTTCAAGCTACTTTAACTTTAAGCAAATTTTTTTTTGCATTTCTTCAAACATGTTTTGTTTGTTGACTCTAAAATAAGCAAGCTTTTATTGGACAATCAGCAAACTATTCCAAGTTTATGCCACCTGATCCTGAAACGTGTCCAACTAACCAGGTAAGCGTGATGTGAAGGAGACTTCAGCTGATTTGTCTGTGTCTCTGTAGACGGAGGGTTTTACGGATCTCCTCTGGGATGGAGGAGATGGGAACGCTGCACTGGGATCTGGTCCTCTGTCTGTTGTTGGCCTGGGTTATGTGTTATTTCTGCATCTGGAAAGGTGTCAAATCCACCGGCAAGGTACATGTGTGAAAAACCTGTTGGTTTTGCCCCATTAGGTCCTTAAAATTATTCAGCTGATTCAAGCGATGTACCTTGTTTTGCTGTCACCCATTAGGTGGTGTACTTCACTGCGACCTTCCCTTATGCGATGCTGCTGATTTTACTGATCAGAGGAGTCACGCTGCCAGGAGCGTCCCGTGGGATCCAGTTCTACCTTTATCCCGACCTGGGAAGGTTAGCGGACCCGCAGGTATCGCAGCTTTTCATCTTTACTACTACTTTAATTTTGTTATGTAAATTCTACTTGTCATGGCTAGAAAGGAACCGTTTGACCTCGTTGAGACATTATACTCACATTACTATTATTTAATACTTTTGTTGTTGTAATATTTAATTATACAATATAATATAATTGTATATGTAATGTAATATAATTGGTAATATTAATATACAGTATAATATATCTATAAAAGTGCCCCATTATGCTTTTCCGAATATTACCTTTCATGGAGACCAATCAGAACAGACTGGACCATCTGACCAATCAGAGTCAGTCCTCTGACCAATCAGAGCAGAGTAGACCAATCAGAACAGACTGGGCCATCTGACCAATCAGATCAGAGTAGACCAATTAGGACAGACTGGGCCATCTGACCAATCAGAGCGGAGTAGACCAATCAGGACAGACTGGACCATCTGACCAATCAGAGTCAGTCCTCTGACCAATCAGAGCAGAGTAGACCAATCAGGACAGACTGGACCATCTGACCAATCAGAGTCAGTCCTCTGACCAATCAGAGCAGAGTAGACCAATCAGAACAGACTGGACCATCTGACCAATCAGAGTCAGTCCTCTGACCAATCAGAGCAGAGTAGACCAATCAGAACAGACTGGGCCATCTGACCAATCAGAGTCAGTCCTCTGACCAATCAGATTAGTGTAGACCAATCAGGACAGACTGGGCAATCTGACCAATCAGAGCAGAGTCAGTCCTCTGACCAATCAGAGCAGAGTAGACCAATCAGAACAGACTGGACCATCTGACCAATCAGATCAGAGTAGACCAATCAGAACAGACTGGACCATCTGACCAATCAGATCAGAGTAGACCAATCAGAACAGACTGGACCAATCAGAGCAGAGCAAGCTCTCGCAAAGGCAGGGTCTAGAGAGACTGAATCTTCTAAGAAACCGCTTCATGTACATTATGAGAAAATTGAAGTGTTTTTTGGACTGGATGAAGGTGAATCTATTATAGGAGATCCAAAACAACATTATGATTAATTTCTTTACTTGCAAAATGACAGTGCACACCAAAAGGTTGGTTTTGAAAAACCGTACGTTCAACGTTACTATTGAGTCCACAAGTGTGTTTTGTAATTCCGCAAGTGCGTTGTTTTCTCCTAAACACACAGTCTCGAGTCGAAAGGTCACGTGATTTGTCTACCCAGGTGCTAGCCGTGGCCCGGAGCAGGACACCAGCAGGGGAACGTTGTTTTCTGTCCTTCTTTGATTGCGTCCATCTGTGCGTTTGACCTTTGATCCGATTTTCTCATCTGCGTCACAAGACCCCCAAACCCACGTGATATCTGAGAACAGGCCACGACACGACCACCCAGATGTATCCCAGCATTCCTTAAAACCGCTTAAAACCTCTTCTGGAAAATCTATGTATAGCGACGAGAGCATTTTTGGTTGGATTTGAGAGATCGCATTGGTTGTGTTGACGTCGTTTCAACTTGGAAGCATAACAATGAGGCCAATTAAACCACATTTTATACCCATGGCTGTTTTGACATATTTACATGTATACAAATGAGGCCAACATTAATGAAATCTGCAACGGTTGGACAAAGTTGGGTACTTGGCGATCTAAGGCTTTTAAAACTTGAGTATCATGGTTCAAATGATGTAAATGTGGCATTCATAAGCCATTTTAATAGGATATTCAACAAGATTTCATGTTGAATAAATAGAGATCGACCGATATTGACTTACCGATAATGATTGTGATTGTTTGCATGTTTATATGACCGATAACCGATATACAGAACTGATATATATATATATATATATATATTAGGGCTGTCAGTTTAACGCGTTATTAACGCCGTTAACGTAAACCCATTTTAACGGCGTTAATTTTTTTAGCGCGCGATTAACGGTCTTTTTGTCCAAGCAAACTTTGTAGAACTTTTTGAAATGAATGGGTTTCAGAACGCAGCGCAAGGACGTTTTGTGCCGCACACACACTCGTTTCGGCTTGCGAGCCGGCCAAATAGTAACGTTACGTTTTGAGTGGATGACGAGCGCGAGACGCCGAAATGGATGCCCTAACATTCTGAATGGAAAGTTTACTTTTAAAAAGTTGCCAAATTGTCCCATTGACAAGACCAAGTGATCTGTGTGTTTTGTCGTTGTGAACTGTGCTATCATAATCGCAGCACGTCCAGTCTGAAACACCACTTGATGATGGCCAATCAAACACACACACACACACAGATGATGCGAATTCTCCACCCCCTCATCAATATCAGGACCTCATCAGTATTTCTTTCACCCATTTATCGATAGACAGTGTTACATTGTGTGAGAGATATTATATATGTGTTAGTGTGAAATTGAACACTATTCCAATGTTATTTTCAATAATAATAATAAAAAAACAAGCCACTAAACAAGCCAATCCACTTTTCCATGTTGATAAGAGCATTAAAATGAGAAAAAATAATGTAACAAAAAGAAATCAAAAGACATTTAGAATAGATAAAAATGTGCGATTAATCGAGAGTTAACTATGACATTAATGCGATTAATCGCGATTAAATATTTTAATCGCTTGACAGCACTAATATATATATATATATATATATGATTTCTGTTTTGACAGTTATAACAGTTCTGAACTGAACAAAACCAATATTTGATTGTGGAAAAAGGTTTAAACATCAGGGAATATATCGGTAAAACCGATTATCGGTCGATCACTTTTTGTTTTGGCATGTTTGGTTGTATTTGAGACAAACCGTTGCTGTTATGGCAATTTTTGGTCGTAGATGTATAAAAAATTCAACATAATATTCAACAAATCAGTGATCTTGGGCTTCAGAAACTGGAGCATAATGGGTCATAATCAACATCGACATTCATAACCTATTTATGATTCTGTAAAGGTTGAAGTGAAGCCAAAATGAATGAAACCCTCAACCAGAAATATAAACAGTTGGACAAAGTTAGTCAAATCGGTGATCAAATCAAGTTGGCTCTAAAAACTTGAGCATCAAATGATTTAAAAAGTGGCATTTATAAGCCATTTTAATTCTGTAAAGTGTTATAGATTTCATGTTGACTTCAGCCTCAAATGAAAAAGCACAATAAATCCCTTTTCTGGTCTGTTCTGACATGTTTGGGTGAGGTTTGACAGATAACCGTTGCTGCTTTTGGTCTTAGATGTATCAAATTCAACAAAATCTTGTGAGTTTGTGAATAATTAGTCAAATCGTTGATCTATGGCTCCATGGGTCCGATTCTGTCAAATCAACATGAATTTACATTATTTACACATTTTAATTCTGAATTGTGAGAGAACCGTTGAGCCGATAAAGTGAGTCAGATTGGTGATTGAAGGCTGTAAAGAAATTCTGGAAGGGTTAAGTCTGGATTTGGACATCAGTGGTGTTTTCAGCACACTTCTGGTGAGGTTTTAAAGGGAGTGTGAGGAATTTTCCCTGTGGAAAAACACCAGTTCTGTAGCCAGGCGCACACGAAGAACGATTTTCACCTGCTGGATGACAAAACACTGAAAACATCCCACAGGACGGACAGGAAAATACATCTCCTGAGCAGTATTGTTTATAGGACAGAGATTACACCAGTACATGCGTCGTTGTGCATTTGGTGTCGTAAGAGATTTAATAATCCACATGGCCTGTGGCGGCGCGTGAATGAACAAAGTTACGAAGAACAGAAAGTTCTGGGATTGATGTCAGAGGGTTTGATTCACAGGCTAATAGCAAAACTACCATCAGCATGTTTTTCCCAGATCATGTCTTAACTCGTTTCAGGACTTTAAGTCTAATAAACAAGAGGTTACACGATCTCCAGGAATCCTACAACAGCTCTAATCTTTCAGCTTGTCCATTCAAGCTTATATTACCTGAAGCCAAATTAATTAAACTGATCATATGTCACATATTCAAAAACCTAGGCATCATAATAGACTCTAAACTAATTTTTAAATCACAGATCTGCAATCGAGTCAAATTTATTATCGCAAATATTTTAGAGCAAACTTGTACACTGTATTTATCATCAGGATTTGAAGATTTATATCTGTTTTACTGTTTTTTATAGTTGTATTGTTTACCGTAATCTTCTTATTGTGTTTTAGGTAGACAATGTTAAGATCTGTTTTGGGACAACGGATGAAAAATAGCCTTTTGGCTAATTCTGGTGCATTTGCAGCAATGCTAATTAATGTACACTGTCCCTGTCAAAAAAAAAAAATATATATATATATATATATATACTCGAAACATTCATTTCTGTCACGAATCGCGCCTCTGTGGCTCTCTCCGCCCAACCCAGAGCTCCGTCTCCTAAGTATTGAACTTCATTACCCATAAGCCCCGTATCTAGGTCTAATCACCGTCACAGGTGTTCCTCATTTCAACACTCAGGAGACGGAGCTCTGGGTTGGGCGGAGAGAGCCACAGAGGCGCGATTCGTGACAATTTTACATTAAAAAAATGTATTTGATATAATACCTCCTGAAATTAAATATTTTATTAATTTGAAAATATATTCATTTTATTTTATTTTATTTTAAATTGTATTTTTTTTTTTACATTTTATTGCATTTTTATAGTATATTATATTTTTATTATATATATATATATATATATATATATATATATATATATATATATATATATATATATATGTATTCTGTAAAATCATTTTATGTAAAATATATATTTTGTATAATACCCAAAATAAACCATTGAATGCCATATATACGTATTTAGTAATATCATTTTATATCAAATATATATTTTGTATAATAACCAAAATAAAATATATAACAAAATGAAATTAATTAAATGGCAAGTATGCTACACTTGCAATTTTATACTTATGTTATATAATACCTAAAATGTAATAATAATAATAATAATACTTAAAAACTCCACAGTAGACCCAAAGTGCTGCTGAACAAATATAAATAAAACAAATTAAAATTAAAAGTCCAAAAAGCTAAAGATGGATGCCTAACTTTTACATGCCTCTATTTATTTGGCTGTACATCCGTATATTAAATTTTAAAAGGGTAAAATGTGTGTGTGTGTGTGTGTTTTGAGGTGTGGATGGACGCAGGCACGCAGATCTTCTTCTCCTATGCAATCTGTCTGGGTTGTCTGACCGCGCTCGGAAGCTACAACAAATACAACAACAACTGCTACAGGTGAGAAAACACCAAACCTTCATTATTAGCTCTGTTATGGTCTACTCTATTGAACATCAATACTACTCAGAGACCACTGACAAAACGCATGATGTGTGTCTTTCACTATAGTGAGTGATATCACTGATTTAAACCTCACTGTTAGATAAACTATGTGATTGATTCACTCAATAGAACTGACTCATTAGAATCATTTGATTCCAAATTAAAAACAAAAACAAAAAACAGATCCAGTTCTGAATAAGATTCGGGTCTCGGTTCCCAGCCCAAGTTAGATAATATAGATATTATTGCCTGACCTCATTCTCTATCGTTTAATAATAGACTGTAAGTGATATAAAAGTCCCAAACTTACTTGAGAAATATGCAGTGCTGTGATTCATCATGTCCATGTGGTTCCTCCGTTTGAAATCTGATCACTTTAAATTGCTTAGTCAACATTTTTTTTTACATAACTATGATGACATTGGATGACAGTATACTGTAAAAAATGCTGGGTTGTTTTAACCCAAATTTGGGTCAAAAATCGACAGACCCAAGTGTTGGGTTAAAAATGTAATAAAAAAAATGTACATTTGAAAGTGAAAGTTGAAGTTGGGTTAAAATTTTAAATTGCATTTTTAACCCAACATTTGGGTTTGTCCATATTTGACCCAAATTTTGGGTTAAAACAACCCAGCATTGTTTAGAGTGCACAAACTTAGACATAAACATGAAAAAAAGAAAAGAAAAAAAGGAACAAATCAATACAACAAATACATACACACCCACAAAAAAAACTCCTGTATTTGCCGACACTGTTTCATAACTCCGGGTGTTTTCTGTTTTCAGGGATTCTTTGGCACTGTGTTTCCTGAACAGTGGAACCAGTTTTGTTGCCGGATTCGCAATCTTCTCCATTCTTGGCTTCATGTCTTACGAACAGAACGTCCCGATTTCAGAAGTGGCAGAATCTGGTGTGTGTTGCTTCATCCGTACTGTGTTTTATAAATAGATATATAATCTCATTTATTTAAAGGTACACTATGTAGGAATTCAGTTTTTGTAAAACAGCGACCCCTAGAGTCACTGTGGAGTAATTTTACTGTCGTAAATAAGGTCTGGCCCCTTTAAGAGCTGCGCGCGCCGGGTTATTCTGTTTGATTCCCATTCTAATCTTATCCGTTTTCTTTTCCTTGACTCTTCTGAGCCTGTGGTCACGTGATGAAGTTCTCCAAAGACGGTCCGTTTTCTCCAAATTTACATAGGGGTATTACAAGAGGGCAGCCCGCTCGGAGCATTGATGTGGCAAATGCTGTATATTGGCCTGAGGAATCATTTAAAATAACTCTATATGCGTCAACTCTTTTGGCCAAAAGTTACACGGTGTGCCTCATCATATGATTCATTGAAATATTATATATTAACTAATATTATATACATATACAATTAACACACAGATATTATTTAATATTTTATTAGTCGTATTATATAATATATACATATATATTTTATAATAATACATTTATAATAAAGGTAATATATACTTTTTTATTAAATTATATTAGGAATATATATATAAAATTTTGTCTATTATATATTCCTAATGTAATTTAATATAAAAATATAAATAATAAAATATTAAATAAAATTTGTTTAACTGTATATCTAATATATAGTTAATTTTCTATATACATTTTTATATTTTGCATAAAAATATATATTTAATACAATACCTTAACTGTAGTTATAATAATAATAATAATAGATAAGTAGCTAGTAAAAATCTATAAGCCATAAACAACACAGTTTAATATAATTTTATATAAAAATAAATATTTTTATAGTAATAAAATCTGGTACAAAATTGTCAGGCTTACAAAAGGATTTATTTAGCGTGAAAGGAAAATATTAAATTACATATATATGTGTGTGCATATATACAGTGTATATATATATATATATATATATATATATATATGAAGAGTTCAGATGCAAAAGCCTCTAAATGCCATTTGAAATTTTCTTCTTGAATGATGATTTTTATCAAACTTGTATATTTAAGTTCAGTAATTTCACTTAAATGGCAATGATAATTACCTATTAATTGTTATTTAAGTGAAATTACTGAACTTAAATATACAAGCTTGATAAAAATGATCATTCTAGAAGAAAATTTCAAATGGCATTTAGAGGCTTTTGCATCTGAACTCTTCATATATATATATATTTTACAATTTTCCTTTAAGCTAAATAAATCCTCTAGTAAAAGATTTTCCAATCAGGTATTCTTAGAAAATTGCCCTTTATCCCTCAAACACACTGTAATCTCTGTCTGTCCCAGTGCACACACTCACGTTTGTTTGTAAATGAGCTGTTCCTGTTCCCGTGTCAAGGCCGGTTTAATCGGTTCTGCTCACGAGAAGTGAACGGGTTCACGTTTCAGACGAGATTCACAGATTTACTGAACCTGTACATTAAACCCAACAAATAACATATTAAAGAAAATGTGTCATAAATTCAATCACAAAAGCTTCAATGCTAATATTGCTCTTGTGTTTTCCTGCGTGGTCTCTTTCAGGTCCTGGGCTGGCGTTCATCGCGTACCCGCGGGCCGTGTCCATGATGCCCTTCTCCCCGCTCTGGGCCGTCTTCTTCTTCATCATGATCGTCCTGCTGGGGCTCGACAGTCAGGTGTGGGACGGCACAGTTTATTGTGTGCATATTCCGAAGATAAGATAAGATAAGATAAGATAAGACTTTACTGTCTGTTACACAAGGATTACAGAACATTTTCTTTGACAAGGTTTCAGTCACAGAGGCATTCACAGTGTTCAGTGTGGCTATTGCAAACGGGATGAACGAGGTCTTGTAAATGTTTGTGTGTGTGTGAGAGTGTGTGTGTGTGTGAGTGCGTGTTCGAGTGTGCCTGAAGCAATAATTGACAAATAATAAGTGTGTATTAAAGGATTAGTTCACTTTTGAAAAAAACTTTTGCTGATAATTTTCTCGCCCCCGTGTCATCCAAGATGTCCATGTCTTTCTTTCCTCAGTCGAAAAGAAATTTAGGTTTTTGATGAAAACATTCCAGGATTTTCTCCATATAATGGACTTCAATGGGGTCCAAACGGTTCAAGGTCCATAAGACCGTTTCAGATGCAGCTTCAAATGTCTTTAAACGACACCAGACGATGAATAAGGGTCTTATCATGCGAAACGATCGGTTATTTCAAAACTTGTTCCAAAAATGTAACTTTTCTAAGGACAAATGCTAGCCTTGCTCTATTCTGTGAGGCGCGTTTGCAACGTCACGTAATACGTAATTACGTTCAAAAGGTCACGGGCGACGTAGCCGGAAGTACAGAGTCAGTGTTTACAAGTTGAACGCATAGGTTGAACGTGCAAACTAACTCAAACGCCGTTTACAAAAAAAGGAATTAAAAGGTAAAACAACGATGTCGGACGATTTTGATTCTGTACTTCCGGCTACGTCGCCCGTGACCTTTTGAACGTAATTACGTATTACGTGACGTTACAAACGCGCCTCACAGAATAGAGCAAGGCTAGCATTTGTCCTTAGAAAAGTTACATTTTTGGAATAAGCATTGAAATAACCGATCGTTTCGCATGATAAGACCCTTATTCATCGTCTGGTGTCGTTTAAAGACATTTGAAGCTGAATCTGAAACTGTCTTTTGGACCTTGGACCGTTTGGACCCCATGGAAGTCCATTATATGGAGAAAAATGCTGGAATGTTTTCATCAAAAACCTTAATTTCTTTTCGACTGGGGAAAGAAAGACATGGACATCTTGGATGACATGGGGGTGAGTAAATTATCAGCAAAAGTTTTTTCAAAAGTGAACTACTCCTTTAAGCATGAATGGTCCACATAAAGCAAGCGTGGAGTCAGCGGTGTTCTTCCTCTCTGCAGTTTGTGTGTGTGGAGAGTCTGGTGACCGCTATGGTGGACATGTACCCGACCTTCTTCCGCCGCAAGAACCGGCGAGAGCTGCTGATCCTGGCCGTGGCCGTCGTGTCCTTCCTCGTGGGGCTCATCATGCTCACGGAGGTACCCGACCAATCAGAGTCTGAGATTAACACCCGCCAACCCCAGTGTTGTTTTGCTATTTATTAAACAGCATTTGATTAACAGAAAAGACATTATTATTTTCCAGCATCCTTCATGTTGTGTGTGCTGTATTGATCTGGAAGATGCTGGATGACAGGATTTAGTTTGAATAAGATATGAATGTATGAAATCAACATGTGACACAGTTAAAGGGTTAGTTCACCCAAAAATGTATTTACTCACCCTCATGTTGTTCCAACCCCGTAAGACCTTCGTTCATCTTCGCAACACAAATTAAGATATTTAAGATATTAAGATCGCTCCTGTATACAGTCCATCGGCTTCTTGAGGGAATGACACTTGATGGCATCGAAAAGTCATTAAAGACATCGTTAAAATAGTCCAAGTGACTACAGTGGCTCAATTTTAACTTTATCAAACGACGAGAACACTTTTAGTGCGCAAAAACAAACAAAAATAACGACTTTATTTCAACTATTCACTTCCTTCTCCATGGGCCTGTAGTCAGTTAGCGTAGTGTGATTGCGTAAAGCTACGTCACACGTAGGCTCACTATTGGCCGACGCTGGTCATGTGTGTGATGCGTGTGACGTACAATAACAGAAGCGTACGCTATTAAACTAGTAACCTGACTCGCGCAGAGGGAGAAATAAACGATTAGTTGAAATAAACTCGTTATTTTTGTTGTTTTTTTGCGCACAAAAGTGTTCTCGTCGTTTGATAAACTTAAAATTGAGCCCCTGTAGTCACTTGGACTATTTTAACGATGTCTTTAATGACTTTTCGAGGCCATCAAGTGTCATTCCCTCAAGAAGCCGATGGACTGTATGCAGGAGCGATCTTAATATCTTAAAGGGTTAGTTCACCCAAAAATGAAAATTAAGTCATTAATTACTCACCCCCATGCTGTACCAACCCCGTAAGACCTTCGTTCGTCTTCGGAACACAAATGAAGATATTTTTGATTAAATTTGAGAGCTGTATAAATACCACATTGGCTCATAAGGGACTGCCTCTTGACGGCCCAGAAAGTCAATGAAGAAAATGTTTAAATATCCCAAGTGACTACCGTGGCTCAACTATATGTTTATCAAGCGACGCGAATACTTTTTGTGCGAAAAAACAAACAAAAATAACGAGTTTATTCGACTATTCCTTTTCTTTCCTTGTAGGCCAGAAACGAGACTTCCTTAGATTTCCACGACGCATGCGCGAGATTTGCGATCTGCGTACAACAGCTTACACTACTTCAGATCGCAATTCTCGCGCATGCGTCGTGGAAATCTATAAGGAAGTCTCGTTCTGGCCTACAAGGAAGAAAAGAAATAGTCGAATAAACTCGTTATTTTTTATTGTTTTTTCGCACGAAAAGTATTCGCGTCGCTTGATAAACATATAGTTGAGCCACGGTAGTCACTTGGGATATTTAAACATTTTCTTCATTGACTTTCTGGGCCGTCAAGAGGCAGTCCCTTATGAGCCAATGTGGTATTTATACAGCTCTCAAATTTAATCAAAAATATCTTCATTTGTGTTCCGAAGACGAACGAAGGTCTTACGGGGTTGGTACAGCATGGGGGTGAGTAATTAATGACTTAATTTTCATTTTTGGGTGAACTAACCCTTTAAATATCTTAATTTGTGTTCCGAAGATGAACGAAGGTCTTACGGGGTTGAACAACATGAGGGTGAGTAAATACTGACAGAATTTTCATTTTTGGGTGAACTAACCCTTTAATCTGGATCTTTTTTCTTCTTTTTTTGGGCTTGTAGAAGTTCTGAATGACCGGTAACTTAAATATTTAGTAGCCAAATTGGCCGGTGAGTGATAAGGTTAATTCTAAACCCTGTCTGATATCATATTTGTGATCTGTGTGTTTCAGGGAGGGATGTATGTGTTCCAGCTGTTCGATTACTACGCCGCCAGTGGCATGTGTTTGCTCTTTGTTGCTGTTTTTGAGACCGTTTGCATTGCCTGGATATACGGTGAGATTTCACTGCTGTGCATTTAGTGCAGAAAGCAATTTATATTCATGATAATATTATTTAAATTATTACAAAAAAAGGTTTTTGAAACAGGACTAAACTGTTATCTGCGCATTTGGTGCAGAAAGCAAGAAGAATGACAATTTTATACGGTCAAACCAAACATTATTCAGACACCAGATATCATTTTGATATTGTTTCACTGGTGTGTGCAGGACACTATAGTTCATTTATGTAAGTGAGGAGAGCAAAATAATCTGTGACATATTATACACAAAAAATCTTCATACAGTGACCAAATTTGAGAGCAAAAATGACTCTGAAGTGATTTTGCTCAAGTGTGTTTTCTGTAATTGCTAATGCTCTGAACAACATGAAGCATTGCTTGCTCACTGGTTGAGCTAAACTGGTATTATCTAATTGTAGAGTTAAATTTAACAGATATTCAACATAATTCATGTGTGAGAGTCTAACAGAAGGACGGACAAAACCAGTCAAATGTCAATTCTGCTCATATTTGAGTACCATTTTCAGAGAATAAACTGTGATAATGTGAGAAATGTTAAGTGTCTGAATACATTTTGGTTTGACTGTATTTATTAAATATTTTTATATTAATATTTTTAAATTATTACATAAATAATACGAATCAGGACTAATCTGTTATCAGTCACAATTTTGGTAATTTTCTTTCTTTCTTTTTGCTGTTGTTGATTCTCAGGTGCTAATCGCTTCTATGACAATATCGAGGACATGATTGGTTATCGTCCTGGGCCGTATATTAAATATTGCTGGCTCTTCTTCACTCCAGCCACATGTTTTGTGAGTCTTTCATATATTGTACTTCTATTCAACTTCCAAATCAGTGAATTTGAAGGTTTTCTTAACCTTTATTAAACCTCTTCAAATAACAAGATAGATAGATATATAGATAGATAGATAGATAGATAGATAGATAGATAGATAGATAGATAGATAGATAGATAGATAGATAGATAGATAGATAGATAGATTGATTGATTGATTGATTGATTGATTGATTGATTGAATTGAGTTTTCAGATCTTCTAATGTGGTTGTGTGTTTTAGGGCACGTTTGCGTTCTCCCTGATCAAGTACACTCCTCTGAAGTATAATAACGAGTATGTGTACCCGTGGTGGGGTTACGCGCTGGGCTGGCTGCTGGCGCTGTCCTCCATGGTCTGCATCCCGCTGTGGGCGGTGTATAAGCTGAGCACCGCTAAAGGCTCGCTGCGAGAGGTGAGTGTGCATGCATCACACATCACACCACAGATCAGTCAAGTGCACAGCATTATGGGATGATGAAATGTCCCACATAGTGCGCTATGGTTATTTATTGAGGAATGCATTGTTGGGGAAAATTACTTTGAAAAGTAATGCATTACAATATTGTGTTACTCCCTTAAAAAAGAACTAATTGCGTTACTTAGTTACTTTTTTAGAAAATTGAAACATTACAATATTGTGTTGCTTCCTTAAAAAATAACTAATTGCGTTAGTTACATTTTTAGAAAAGTAACGCATTACAATATTGTGTTACTTCCTTAAAAAATAACTAATTGCGTTAGTTACATTTTCAGAAAAGTAACGCATTACAATATTGTGTTACTTCCTTAAAAAATAACTAATTGCGTTAGTTACATTTTCAGAAAAGTAACGCATTACAATATTTTGTTACTTCCTTAAAAAAATAACTAATTGCGTTAGTTACATTTTCAGAAAAGTAACGCATTACAATATTTTGTTACTTCCTTAAAAAAATAACTAATTGCGTTAGTTACATTTTCAGAAAAGTAACGCATTACAATATTGTGTTACTTCCTTAAAAAATAACTAATTGCGTTAGTTACATTTTCAGAAAAGTAACGCATTACAATATTTTGTTACTTCCTTAAAAAAATAACTAATTGCGTTACTTAGTTACATTTTCAGAAAAGTAACGCATTACAATATTTTGTTACTTCCTTAAAAAAAATAACTAATTGCGTTAGTTACATTTTTAGAAAAGTAACGCATTACAATATTGTGTTACTTCCTTAAAAAATAACTAATTGCGTTAGTTACATTTTCAGAAAAGTAACGCATTACAATATTTTGTTACTTCCTTAAAAAATAACTAATTGCGTTAGTTACATTTTTAGAAAAGTAACGCATTACAATATTTTGTTACTTCCTTAAAAAAATAACTAATTGCGTTAGTTACATTTTTAGAAAAGTAACGCATTACAATATTTTGTTACTTCCTTAAAAAAATAACTAATTGCGTTAGTTACATTTTTAGAAAAGTAACGCATTACAATATTGTGTTACTTCCTTAAAAAATAACTAATTGCGTTAGTTACATTTGTTAGAAAAGTAACGCATTAAAATATTTTGTTACGTCCTTAAAAAATAACTAATTGCGTTACTTAGTTACTTTTTTTGAAAAGTAAAGCATTACAATATTGTTACTTCCTTAAAAAAATAACTAATTGCGTTAGTTACTTTTTTAGAAAAGTAATGCATGACACTATTGTGTTACTTCCTTAAAAAAACAATGTATTGCGTTACTTAGTTACTTTTTAGAAAAGTAATGCTTTTGCTTATCACTGATTTTATTCATTTTGAGGAATATTGAATGTTTTTTGTGCAAGTGAGATTAGTAAATGCACACACACATTTAGTCTAGATAGAACTACAATAACCATCATGTTCACACACAGTAGAGCTGTCAGTCAATAAATGGGAAAACAAAGTAACTCAGATATTATGTCGTAAATTTGAATTACTTTACTAGTTACTTTAAAAGTAATCCGATTACATTACTTGTCATGTGTTTCCCCAAACACTAATTGAGAACAGTTACTACATACAATGCAAACTACACTGTAAAACAGTGTTATAATGGATGTTCTGTTATTCCTCAGCGTTTCAACGAGCTCATCACGCCCTCGCTGGACCTGCCCAAATCCAGACGGGACCAGGAGAAGACTCAGGCCATCTTCGCAGCCGACGGCGAGACTCTCCGCCAGCGAAACAAAGACGGGTACTTACCCGTGAGCGAGAAAGAGTCACACTGTTAGCCCGTCCGTCCCGTGACGGACCTCTGCATGCTTCCCTGAGGGTGGTGCTTCAAAACCTTCCCATGATACCTCACTCAGTACTGGCAGCCAAATAAGCCTTACGACACGCCAGGATGACCCTCGACCTCTCGAGTCGGTGAGAGGATCTGAAGATCGCTCTCGTTGCTCTGAGGGTAAAGCCTGCAAGTGTCAATATTATAGACAGCAGAATGTTGAAACACTGTTTTACTTCTGTAAAATAATCACACTTATTTTAAAGTAAGACATAATGTTTAATTTCTATTCTGGATTTAACTATTTGATCGGACTGGCAAAAACTACATAAAATGATATATTAAAAAATAGAATATATATATATATATATAATTGTTTCCCATTTTATAATAAAATTTTGTGTAACTTTTGCCACTATATATATATATATATATATATATATAATATAATAATAATTAGATAAATATATACTTTTATTGGATTTGCAGAAAATTGATCAGTCTGGCAAAAGTTGCACAAAATTATATCAATTATATACAGTATATATATATTCCATTTTTAATTTACATTTGTTAAACTTTTGCTATTTTATATATTCATAATAATTATATAATTTTAATTGGATATCACAGAACCACTGGGCATAAAATAAGCGTAAAATAAACATTGAATCATTGCATCGATACGCCAGTAGGTGGCGATTAAAAATGCATTTGTCAATGATTTATTCGTTCAATTTGAGATTTGTTCAAAAACGCTGATTCACCCAGTAATGAAACAAGTGAAGCATTTATGGGTGAGTCATTGAATCATTCGCTCAACCCAATTACAATTTTTTTTTATTAAAATGTATTAAATCAACTGTTTTGTTTAGTTGTCTGTTCAGAATCGTGGGAGAATCGTGATCTCTATTTTAAACAATTTATCCAGAATCGTGCAGCTCTTATAATGTCATTTCAAACCATGTTTTTCTTTGACTTTATTTCTTCTGCTTTCAGTAATATTGACACTTTAAAAGTTGAACTTTAAAAAGTTGACAATCTGAATGCCTTGAATCGAGACAGGAAGATCCTTGCAATTCACCCGAAAGCCTTTTTGATCTTCAAAATGATGGAGCGAAGGATTTGCATAAGCTGTTTAGTGTTGTTAATTAAAGGATTAGTTCACTTTTCAAAAAACTTTTGCTGATAATTTCCTCACCCCCATGTCATCCAAGATGTCCATGTCTTTCTTTCTTCAGTCGAAAAGAAATTAAGGTTTTTGATGAAAACATGACAGGAATTTTTCCATATAATGGACTTCAATGGGGTCCAAACGGTTCAAGGTCCAAATGAGAGTTTCAGTGCAAACTGCAAACTGTTCAAAGGGCTTTAAACGATTCCAGACGATGAATAAGGGTCTTATCAAGCGAAACGATCGCTCATTTAATAAATAAATAACAAAGTTTAAGTTTTATAAGCTCAAATTCTCGCCTCGCTCTGTTCTGTGATGCACGTCCGTCTTCGAACTCGTTCATAAAAATGAATTAATCTTTTCCCGAGTCAACTCATTAATTTCGTTTTTCAAAAAGATTTGTTCATTTTGATGAACGAGTTTGAACAGGAGAGTCACGAACGCGCATCACAGAACAGAGCAAGGCGAGCATTTGAGCTTATAAAACTTAAACTTTTTTATTTATTTATTAAATGAGCGATCGTTTCACTTGATAAGACCCTTATTCATCGTCTAGTGTCATTTAAAGCCCTTTGAACAGTTTGCAGTTTGCACTGAAACTCTCATTTGGACCTTGAACCGTTTGGACCCCATTGAAGTCCATTATATGGAGAAAAATCCTGGAATGTTTTCATCAAAAACCTTAATTTCTTTTTTGACTGAAGAAAGAAAGACATGGACATCTTGGATTACATGGGGGTGAGTAAATTATCAGCAAAAGTTTTTTTAAAAGTGAACTACTCCTTTAAGGAAAAGTGCACTCAAAAATGCTTATTTTTTCATTGTTTACACGCCCTCATGTCATTCCAACGCCAATTTCTTCAGTGGAACACAAGAGTCAGTGATTTCATTGTATTTTATTTTGCGTTCCAGAGGGGGAAAAGTACGTTTTGAACGACATGAGTCCAGTAAATAACAAAACTTTCATTTTTCTGCACTATCAAACGCTTCGCCCCGCCAATCTACATAGATGTTGGAAACCGAAACTGGAGTGTCTTTAGGACTGTTTCAGTTCATACAATCAATGCATCTGCTTTCTAAGGAAGCAAAACAGTGTTTTTCGAATCCGTGTGGATGTGCATTATAAATACAGCAACGCCTGTGAGGTATGCAGATCTGAATACGGAGGAATACATACGGTGTTACACAGGGTTATTGATCAATACTTTTGTGCACTTGAGAGTGTTTTAGGATATAAATCATTGTATCTCACGGTTTTGTATTTTTTATTGCAAAACTTTATTAAAGCAGAGTACGGTTGTCGTCTAGAATTTAACAAATGTGTGATAAAAAAATTTTAACGTCCGCACAAATCAATCAGATTGCACATGGAGGGCCGATCAGATGTGTGTGTGTTTTCACTGGTACATGTTGTGATGACGTATATGAAGTCTTTCTATTGCAGTCTTTGTGTATATAACCTGTACAGAAAGCTTGGGTTTTGGTTTTACAACTTTGTAAATGTGTTACATTTGAACCAGATATACTGTATTACTCATGTACATTACATCAATTAAAGAAAAAAACTGGAATGCACTGGTTTGCGGCGATTTAATCGGACGGGAACGGATCGTTGCTGGTGCATTAACATAAATTGAAATTGTTTTATTCATTTTACGGTAATATATTACTTGTACTTTTCAGTCACTTTGAATGAAAGTATGTGTTAAATGATATAATTCAAAATCACGAAATGGAAATGTTCTTGCCCTAAATTGAAATGCACTTGCTTTACTAAAAGCATCTTAAAATTAAACTTTATTTGAATTTGCATGAACACAAGACTGCATAAAGCTAAAGAAGCTCTCTAAGGAGCAAACCCATAGCATTTAGAGGTTAAATATTATATAAAATAGGATAAAATCAATGTCAGTTTTATATTTCTTGTATAAACCCCTTGTGAATACTTGGATAAAAAAGTATCTAAATGTAAATGCATCTCTCTGATGAGAATATTGCATACCCACAAGGTTAAATAGGATAAAATATCAACAATAAAGTATGTAAATAGTGTGAAAATAGCCTCAATAGTTATTTACGTGCATTTATGGGCTGTTTAAATGCGTTATAGATTTAGTTCACTAGCCCTGATAATGATTATTTACATTGAAGAGCTGTTTAAATGTTACAGATTTAGTTCAGTATTATAATATTGTGAAACTAGCCTCAATAATGATTATGTACATGCAATTAAGAGCTGTTTAAATATGTTATAGATTTAGTTCAGTATTATATTATTGTAATAAATAGCTTCGATAATGATTAGCCCTATTTGCGTGTATTTAAGAGCTGTTTAAATGTGTAATAGATATAGTTCAGAATTCAGTGTGTTGAACTTGAAATATAATTCTTGAGGTAAACGATATGTAAATATAGTGTTGTGTTTTGTGAACTGCCTGCAGTTCCCCTGAGCGCCTCGCGGGGGCGCCGCAGCCCCTCCCTCACTGCGGATCCGGTCAGTGTTTACGGAAGTGACGCCTGACGTGACGTGTCATTTTCCGCACAGGCATTATGGGGATCCAGGAATGAAGAAAAAATCATGAAACTCAGGCGAGAAGCGCACGTATAGATCATAAACATCACACAGAGCCTCTCGATCATAACGATCAGCATGATTATTATGATCATGTGTGCGACACACGAGAGCGCGTGCGGCTGAAGACAGACTCGTTTATTGATGTGTGTGAACGATATTTATGTGTCTCGCGCTGGAGCCGAAACACCCCGCTCGGTTTAATTGAGTTATTAATCATAAATAAGAGTTGAATTAGTGTCGAATGAGTGTGAAGATGTCGACCAGCAGTCCTGAAGCGGTGAAGAAACTCCTGGAGAACATGCAGGCGGATCTGCGCTCTCTGTCCATGGAGTGCAAGAAGAAATTCCCTCCAGTCAAAGAGGTATCTATAATGTGGATCTATAATATATTCAGTACATATATCTGTGCATAATGACGTTATATCTATTGGTTTGTTTGTATCTTTACATGTGACTGTATATGCATAGGCTATAATATCTATATGTGAACGTCGTGGTTCCTGTTGACAGTTAAGAGCTTGACTGTAATGTACATGCACTGTAAAAGGTACAAATAAAGTATTTATAATATATATAATAATATGTAGTGGCATAATTAAGCAAATTCAATTAATTTTCAATTATATATTATTGCATAAAATTAATTTTGGATTGGGAACTAGAATTTGGCCAGTCTATTTTCTCTGCACGTTAAAAAAAAATACACAAATAATTAAGATATCTAATGTCTTAATATATAATGGTATGATTAAGCTAATGCAATAATAGATAAAAAAAAGTATTAAAATTAGATAGAATTCGGCCAATATTTGTTCTAAAACACATAATAAAACAAATAATGAATATATACTATATCTTAATATACAATGGTATGATTCAGTAAATGCAATAAAATGCAAAATAAAAATTAAATAAAATGTTAGCTATATATAAATAATTAATGTATAATAATATATCTTAATATATAATGGTTTAAGCAAATGCAATATACATATATATATATATATATATATTAGATCATTTCCTCTGCCTTAATAAAAATAGTTTTAAGATGTGTGTGGATGACAAGCAAGTTTCAGTTTATTGTAAAAATAATGTGTTTATTAGGCACTCCTAAATCTGTGAGACAGTGTCTGAAAGACGCGCTCGGATGACTGATGTCATTGGTAATATCCATCACAGTGTCATAAAGCAGCTGTCAATCATCTGAAAGCAGATTGACATGCAGACAAAGGTCATAAATCACTGAATTATCCAGG